CGAGGTAGTGGCGGGCAATTCATTGTCCTTCTAAGCATCTTCTTTTGAATTTTTAGTAACTCTCCAAATCCCTTGTCGATACACTATTCTTTGCCTTCCATTGCAAAGCAATTCTAGTGGTTCCCAACTTTTTCGCCTCGCATCACAAGTTGGGTACAACAATTTCTTGTGATCTTCTAGCATCCGCTCGAACTTGATCTTCTCCTTTTCACTTTCACATTCTCTTTGTAAAGTCACGAATGACCCGAGAAAGATCATCACCGGCTCATCTTCTCAAGGCTACCTCTTCTTCACTTCTCCCATTGCAAGATCATTGAAGCACGCACCATCGGGAATAATATCATTGTCGTCCCCATTGTTCTTCTTCACCTTCTTCCATTACAACACCGGTTTCTCCGTGCTTTGTCCAACAAATATAGTTTGGCATGAAACCCGACTTGAACAAGTGTGAATGAAGAGTCCTTGAGCAAGGATATTCCACCGTATTCTTACATATGGCACATGGGCAGACATGAAACCATCGCGTTTGTTTGCCTCGGCCAAGCACGTAATAAAGAATGCGCACGTCAATGAACTCTTGGGAGCGGCGATCAACATTATACATCCAATGACGGCTCATCTGCATTACATGACATAAATACCATATTAAAAACCTAGATCATAATTAATTATTTATACAACATGCGTGCCACCATAAAAGATACAAATTTATGAAAGCATCGCTACAATGTAGACAATCCCAACTACCACTAAAAGAACTAAAGCTAAAATACATTTCAAAGAGCGGTGGATTTCACGACCAATCTCAACTAAAATGCATGTATCCCCGATTGTGCAACATCTTTGGGCTTCTTCTACCGGATCACGCCTCATTAGCCGTCAGATCTCTCACAGTGCAAGATATTTTTGCACGAGTTCAATATACTCTTCCTCCCAAAGAGAAGCCCTGAACATCGCCCACCGCCATCCCAATCAAATTAAAGCAAAAAATTAGAACTTTAATCACAACCATCATGAAAATAGGTATAAACTAACCATAATCATTAAATACGATAAAAAATAACTCACATTATGCGATCCTGACACTTGTAGAAGATACGATCCTTGTTGGGACCCTCCTTCTTCACTCGGTACTCCATCACAATCTTCGCCTCATCACGACACTTGCCGCATGGAATGAGAGGGAGGCCCGCCTAAGTCGCTTTGGAAACCCATGAGAGGCCGAGGACCCAAGCGGCCATCTACTCTCTATACTCATTTTTAATACACTATAAATTTCTTCTTTATAAACAAATAAAATTAAGAAACTATAAAATTATCTAGATCTCTAAACAATGATATTTTTAATGGTCATTGTGTTATCGCCTTTTTATCATGGCGGTAAGTAATTCACATGATATTTCCGCAAATTAACAAGAATGGGAGTGTACACACATATGTATCATCTGCGACGATATCGGGACGTGTGAATAAATAACCATCCATACTAGTTGACCTTGCTTACGTGATCATCTCGGCGAGCATTTCTCCACCGGACGGCACCGTGCCAGCCACGGAAGAGCTCCAATTCTACGAGGAAGGAAACACGGTCTTCCACGACCGCTGCCGCTCTCCCTCGTAGAATCAAAACTCCTCCTTGACGTCCGCTATCGCTTTCGGCAGAGAACGTGCTTTCGCCGAGATGAACACGGTCTGCAAAGTTCAACTAGTATGGATTTTCTATAATTTTCTAACTATTTTCTAAGTTTATATTTATATATATACTACGCTTTGGGTACGGTGATTGATGACTCATCGCGACGATATCGTGACATGTGAATAAATAACCATCCGTATTAGTTGACCTTGCTTACGTGATCATCTCGGCGAGCATTTCTCCACGGTGACGGCACCGCATTTCTGACCACGAAAAGCTCCAATTCTACGAGGAAGGAACACGGTCTTCCACGACCGCTGCCGCTCTCCCTCAGAGAATCAAAGCTTCTCCTTGACGTCCGTTACATTTCGGCAGAGAACGTGCTCGCCGAGATGAACACGGTCCGCAAGTTCAACTAGCTACTTTAACCTTATTTCATGTAAATATGCAAGCTTGAAGTGATTTTGAGCTCAAATTGCTTACAAATGAAAAAAAACCAAAATAAAGAACATATATATATATAGTGAACAAAATGAGATAAGACAATAGTGAAAAATGAGAGTATGAGATTGGTAACCTTTACAACTGAAGAATCGATTTGAGGAATCAAGAAATCGATGGAGGAATCGAATAATGGATGGAGGAACAATGGAGGGAGGGAGGAAGCAAGAACACTAGTGCAGTGAGCTTCAAAATATGCTGAGCTCGGGCTCGGGGAGGAAGGAGACAGCCGGGATATAAAGGGGGGCCTTTAGTCCTAGCTGGTGGCTCCAACCGGGACTAAAAGTAACTTTCCAACCCCGGGCGCAGCCACGGCCCGGGAGTAGACCTTTACTCCCGGTTGGAGCCCCCAACCGGGAGTAAAAGTATACCTTTAGTCCCGGTTGGTGGCTCCAACCGGGACTAAAGGTCCCTGCCACCTCTGTCTGACGCAGTAGCCGCCAACCAGGACTAAAGGTATTTCTAATCCCGGGCGCAAAAAATTCCGGGACTAGAGCCCATTTTGACCGAGGATCAAAGGCCTGTTCTCTACTAGTGAAAGTGCACATGATAGCTTCTACAGAATTAGACCTCTACTCCAAACCGAATGATCTGATAGGAACTTTCCATCGAATATCCAAGATCTGACACGCTCACCGAAATGATTTTTAGGAGGATTCTTTTATGCGAAAAATTCAGCTTTAAAAAGCTAGGAAACGAATTAGTGTCTCATAATGTTTTTTTTCATTAGTGATCCTCTGAGCATGGACACACCTGCATATTTGAGCATTTCTTGAATTATAGTACGACATTCTGTGAACTCAGTTTTAAATAGAATAATAATTTAAATCCTTTGATTCTTCTTCCCACTTAATAAAATTGGGGTGACAATCATCGAAGGACTTATTTCATAATCTTATATATGTAATTAATCCACTGGAGAACGACATTAGCGATTTTTGTTCACTGGTGTTAGAGCCGGGTTGGATGCACACTGATGGTCGTTCAAAGTGGTCCTGTTTGGATTGAAAGGAGTTTAGCCACTAAACTTTAGACCAGTTTAGCTCTTGAGGCTCTAAACAAGTGGTTAAAGTGTTGTCTAAAGTTTATTCAACCTCACAAAAAATCATTAGTTCATCATTAGACCACAAGTAAGCTAAAGTGCTATAAAATTCAACTTTTAACCTTAGCCAACTAAGCTTTAAACCATATGCAATCCAAACTGAGGTTAAATTACTGTTCGTCGTTAGTAAAGACCACTGGTGTAGTAGAGAATTAGAGATGATCCAATAACCATGCAATCCAGCGCTGCCGAGGGCAAACTTCCGGGCCGTGTGCGAGCTCCTCCACCTTCATGGTCTACGATGATCCATAGGCTGGTTCTCGTGCAAATCCACTAGTCTTCATGGCTGTGGCCTGCTGCAATTGTTAGGATAATCATGACTTGGAGTGTGTTTCAAGTCAGTTGGTTAGTTAGCGTGTGTGTGCTTGCATGTCGTTCATCAAGTGCATGCGTGTGTAGGCTCATCGAGTCTAGAGGCCAAGTCGTTGGCGGTTAAGCGCATGCAGGAGCACGCCACGCGAGAGAAGGATGGAGAGCCGTTCATGCGAAGGAGTATGTGGCTCACGAACGCATGAAACCAGGTCGTCCAGGCTGCCATGTGTACGTGCACGTGAAGCTCGCAAGGTGGGTGTATGGGCGCTGCCTTGCCGTGGGTATAAACTGGCCGCGTACGCTTGTGTTTTAGAGTGAGCCGAATCGTGTGTTTAAATAATAGAAGCCAAGATACAGACGTTCGTCGCCGCGGTGTTCGTCGCCGATAAGTCTATGTCTATTATTCATGTTCTCGTGATCGTCCGTGCATCCTCGGTTCCCACAGCAACAACCCACGATATGCATTCAAGCTCACCCAAAACCATAGTCCATAGGTTTGCTCCACGGACCATTGGAGTGAGAGTGATCAGCGGGCGAGACGCGCTTTTCAGTTGCCATCTGACCCTGCTGCCTGGCGCATCGAACCTTCCTTTTCACCTGACCTCATCGCGCGGTACGATCATTGATGCCCTCCTGTCATTGCATCAATTAATTAGCGCCGATAACTACACGTGTGGCTGCTCCGACGCCACAACGTAATCGCGCATAACATCCACTCAAAACCCTGCTTATGACACCCCTGCCTATGGTTGTATTGTATGGCACCCACATAATTGCGAAATTGAATAGGCTGATTGCTGAGGCTCCGAGAGCAAAACAACGGCCCATCAAATCATCATCACGTCCTCGCGACTCCACTGTTCCCACCGAGACAGCCACATCCTCCCGGCCCGGCCGGGCAAATAATTCCCGGAACCCCCATAGATTCTGCAAAGACGAAAGCGTGACGCGCGCTGCCGCCATGATTTCCGATGCAAGCGATCCCTGTCCTTGGTTTCCATTTTCCTGTCGCCCCCTGCTCTGCCTTTTTTGGCCGGTCGAGCTGAGCCAATCTCGGGAGCATTACGTCCGAAGCAACCCGCGGCGACCACCTATAAGAGAATCCAGCAGGCGTGGCTGCACGAAACACGCAGCTCGTGCAGGCAGGCAGATTCCAGATATACGCGCAAAAGAGACAGACCGCAGACGGTGACCAGGGTGTACTGCGCGTACAACGCTTGGCGTCCTTGCCACGCCCACGGGCCACGGTGTCGCCGCGCGCTTTTTCCTCTTCTACGCAGTAGGCGAAAAGACTCTGCCTGCACCCTGCAGCCAGCGACGGCGCAGAGTCCTTGCGTGCGTCTCCCGTCCCCGCCTCCCCCGCCTTGCTTTCCTCAGCGCCTTCGTCTTCTTCCTCGCCACTGGTAGCCATTGGAGGCGCGTAGGGCGGTTGCAGTGAGCAGCGGTAGCATGGGGATCGGGAGGCAGCGCGGTGCTGCTACCATCGTCTTGGGGATCCTGGAGCTCTTCCTCTTCCGCTTGGCGAGTAAGTTTCATATGGTGCCATTTCTTTCCCTGCTAATTTGCAGACTTCACACTCCAGGGTTCAGAGTTCTTGGTATTCAGCAAGTGAATGTCGAATATGCATATTACTGTCTGCTATACTTAGTTCTACTTGGTTAGCTGTGAACTGATTGTTTAGGCTACAAGAGCTGTCTCTTGAAAGGGTGAAACTCGGCATGTATATACACTACAGCCTACCACTGAATCCTATCGTATCATGTAGACTAAGTAGCTTCTTCCCCCTTCAGTTCAGAGTAAGATCGTTCGCTGAAAACTTTAGTGGTCTAGTTGCCTACTCAATTTAGTTCGCTTTGAGAGTGGCTTCACTTTTGGCATACTTCTTGGTTTCTCGATTGAGCGTTCTGTACATTACTTTTATCATTTCTGGAGACACAAAATTCCGCATACGTTACACGCTGCACATACGTATCTCACTCTTTCGTGGGGGTAGTTACCGAATTTTGCTGCTAGTTTTTTCCCCAAGTGGCGTGTAAAGTCGATGGTGATTGATGGCACAATTTTCATAAGGATGGGACGGATTTGCTGAGATCTCTGCTTTTGCTAACCATGAAAATGAAATTTCTCCAGCAAATTCCTTGCTGTAGAGAACTTGGGCTTCTCTTTTCCAACATGTCACAGTCGTATTCTTAACACCTGATAAAATTGCCCTCAAAACAGGCGACGCTGAGCTGAACCACACAAAACCAAGTCATGTCAATTGGGGTGGGGCAAGTTCATGTCAGGCCCATGCAGGATTCTACTGATTGGTGTGGAAAAGCAGTAGAATAGAGTAGACGTTACATGTTTTGTCGTGAGACCATCAACTGTGTGCGCCAGCATACTGCATGAGTAGTTCCTAAGCAACTTCAGAGTTCAAACGGAGTGTTCATTGTATGGGTCCAGCACTGATGCTCAAAATGGATTGGTTCAATGATACGAAGGCGAGTAGGTGACTTTGACCCATGGATCACACTCTTGAGTCCTACCGGTTGGTCAGGGAATCTAGCAGGGGCATGCCAATTGCCCAATTATTAATGCATAGAAATCAATGGCTCCGCGCCTCCGCCTCCTGGACAAAACTCTGGAGTAGAACTGTAGGGTAGGAGCAAGGTGGTGTTTGGTTGTCCTTTCTAAATTTTAGTCGTTGTCTCATTGAATGTTTAACACATGCATGGAGTATTAAATATAGACTAATTACGAAACTAATTGCATAGTTTACGACTAATTTGCTAGACGAATCTTTTAAGCCTAATTAGTCCATGATTTGATAATGTGGTGTTACGGTAACCATGTGCTAATGACGGATTAATTAGGCTTAAAAAATTCGTCTCGTGGAGTACTGACGAATTATGTAATTTATTTTTTTTATTAGTATCCGAACACCCCGTGCAACGTCCTCTCGACACACCTCCTAAATTTTAGTCACCGGATCTAAACACCACCTGAGTAGTTGTTGGTAGTTGCAGCCTGCAACTAATCCAGACTTGCAGCAGCAGCAGCCACCAATGCTCCACGAAACAAAGTACTAACAAACTACGCTAATCCGTCATGTCTGTGGGACTGGCCTGTGTGGTACCTGCACGCATGACAGATGATGGTGCCAAAAGAGAGGCCATGGCTGCCTAACTGTGCGTATCATTGCCATCTAACCACTTCTCGTTCCCACGTACTTACATTTGCATGTGGCCAAACGCGTTATGCGCCGGCCCCCACAAATCATGCTCTCTTCCATTTGGTCACATCCCAAAAACTGTTTGTTTTTGTCTGAAATTTTAAAATCTGATTCGTATCACTGTCATTTGTGTTTTGTGTGCGTGTGTCAGCTTATAGTAACTGGAAAAACTGAACACACACGAAATCACTTCATGAATCATGCGCGCTGTAATCTTTGATTCTCATATGCAACTTTATTATTTACAGCGTCGCAGTCGTTCATCGGCGTCAACTACGGGACGATCGCGGACAACCTGCCGCCGCCGGCGTCGACGGCCAGCCTGCTCATGTCCACGTCCATCGGAAAGCTCCGCCTGTACGAGCCACAGCCGGACCTGGTCGCCGCGCTCGCGGGCTCCAACATCTCCATCCTGCTGGGCATCCCCAACGGCGCCGTCCCGAACCTCGCGTCCTCCCCGGCCGCCGCGGCGTCCTGGGCCGCCACCAACATCCCCACCACGGTTTCCGTCTCCGCCATCTCCGTCGGCAACGAGCTGCTCAACTCCGGCGACCCCACGCTCGCGCCCCAGCTCCTCCCCGCCATGCAGAACCTGCTCGCCGCGCTCCCGGCGGGCTCGACCACCAAGGCATGTATATATATATCCTCTCATCACACATGTGTGATCACTGTAGAGATGCATGGTTGGCCGGACGGTTCCTGAGCAAGCCAAGTTGGCGACTACTGTACGTACAGATCTCCACCGTGCACTCCATGGCCGTGCTGTCGGCGTCGGACCCGCCGTCCTCCGGCGCGTTCCACCCGGACCTCGCCGGCAGCCTGGACCCGGTGCTGGACTTCCTGCACCAGAACGGTGCGCCCTTCATGATCAACCCGTACCCCTACTTCGCGTACGCCTCCGACACGCGGCCGGAGACGCTGGCGTTCTGCCTGTTCCAGCCCAACGCGGGCCGCGTCGACGCCGAGTCGGGGCTCACCTACACCAACATGTTCGACGCGCAGCTGGACGCCATCCGCGCGGCGCTGGACGCCAAGGGGTACAGCGACGTGGACATCGTCATCGCCGAGACCGGGTGGCCGTACAAGGGGGACGCCGACGAGGCCGGCGCCACGGTGGACAACGCCAAGGCCTACAACACCAACCTCGTGGCGCACCTCAAGTCCCAGGTCGGCACGCCGCGGACGCCCGGCAAGTCGGTGGACACGTACATCTTCGCGCTCTACGACGAGGACCTCAAGGGGGGCCCGGAGTCGGAGCGGTCCTTCGGCTGTACAAGACAGACCTGACGGCGAACTACGACGTCGGGCTCGCGAAGAGCAGCAGCACGGCGGCACCGACGAGTTTGACCCCGGTTCCGGCACAGGTACTTCCAGTTCTAGATCAGTGCTCGCCATCTCTGCTGCCCTTGATTGATGGGACGGGGAGTTACTGATGCCATCTGAATTTGCAGGGCACGCCGCAACCGAGCAAAGGGACGATGCCGACGGGGTTCTGCGAGACCACGGCCGCCGTGCCAGGCAGCACGCAGGGCCAACAGTTGCCGCAGAGCAGCTCGTGCTACATCCCGGCGGAGCCGTGTCTCGGCGAACTGACGCCGGCACATGGCGGCTCGTTTTGTTTGGTGTTTTGCTGTGCTTGGTCAAGGTAGCCGGCAACTAGTTACAGTATCTGTGTGCGACGGAACAAGTACAGACTTTGCAACACACAGTTGTGCGTATAGATTCACCACCGTATTAGACTTCACGAAAGCTGCTAGGCATAGTCGAATGGTCGGATGTTGAGCCACACGGTTGCCCTGCTTTGGCCTCCACAGCTCCGCCTGCAACTCCTTTGTAATTTGTAGTACAGAGATACAAAAAAACCAGATGGATTCCGCGAGCTTTCTTCTCAAAAAGGCGGAGCAACGTTGTGCATTTTTTATCTACAGAGCTAAGTCGCGTGATATAAACACCTGAGCTGCTTTGCCTAAGCAGCGGCACCTTTAGATTTATGCATTTCTGCACACCTGTGCCAGCAACAATTTGATTTTGCGATTTGGGTATGGCTGGCCGCCGAGTCCACAGAAGTCAATGGCATTAGTGTTGAGCACTACGTCACCAGGCTTTGAATCCAAACTCTTAGCCTTGGTAAAATTCCTTTTTAGTCAACGCTGAAAACATCAGTGTCATCATCATTTAAGTTTGTTCCAAAGATAGGTTGCTCTTCTGATGATTGGGTCTGCTGAGGAGCCTTCTGCATATGCTTCCAATGCTCGTAAGAGTTTTATGAATTTGACTCCATCATCCTGAAGCAGTATGTGACAAGAACTTAAGTGTATGCAGGAGGAACATAAGATGAGAACACTAGTATCCCTAGAAACTAAAATGGTATGGTGCTTAAATTTTAATTTCAAGTTACCTGTGGCTTCTTAAATACAAGGTTGGCTGCCTTGAAAGGAACCATATAATGAGGAAGATCAGAACGCAACGTGGCCTACAATGTCGTTTGGATGAAAAGAATTTGTTGAGATGTTCTCTTGACAATTAGAAACGAAGCAATAACTATCCACAGAAATATCAATAAAGAATACCAGGCTTTTGCAAAGGATTGCCTGTTCCAAGTGAGAAATCAAAGCCTGTAAAGAACCCACAATGATGTCAATCAAAAAGATGCCAGATTAATTTCAAGTGTAAGAACTAAAATTATATTTAACTTTTCAGGACCATGCATTTACCAAATCCATTGCAACAAAGGCATCATATAACAAAATGAAGTGAAATCAAGCCAGCATTGCTAGAGTTTCTGTGCAGATGCAAGTGGATGCTGATACATGCAAACAAAGTAAACAAAGGGGAGGAGTTATCATGTACACATTGCCTGTTTAATTCGTTCATCCTCAACTTCATCCACGGATTTCAGTAGATTCTCCAAGGAACCTATTTAGAATTTTCAAAAAAAAAAGAAAAAGATCATTGCTATGTCTCTGAAACCTCCTAAGATAATCAGGGTAACAGATATGCTTTGCTGGTGTTCCCTAAGAAAAAGGTTGACAGACAAGGCTAAACATGTGATTTACAAAAGACAGATGGATTCAAACCTTCCCACTTTGGAGTGTATGTCAGATTCTAAAACCTATCCAATTTTTATAGTATGTGTACTAGATCAATGAGTTTGAACCAACAAGCTAAACATAACAAAATAAACTCTGCTACAGCAATACAAATATTAAACTAATTAACCCAGATTAAATTAGTCTTATAAGTGCAAAGATTTTTAAAGAAGCATACCGAACTTAGTTATCAGCTTTACTGCATTAATATCTCCAATCCCCTCAACTCCTGAAAATAAAAGTGTTTTCAATCACATCATAAGCATATCTCGGTCAACAGGTTCCAGCAAAGATAAATTTAGATTAGAGAGATGCACTGTGGCAACGAATGATGGATGATCACTGGTAACAGTTCTAAGCAGATTGGCACAGAACAAATTGCATTTGTGCTAAAAAGGTAAATAGACTTAGTATGGTTAATAGCTAATTTGATAGGTCAGCAAAGGTTTTTATTCAACAGCTAAAATTACAGTTTCAATCACACAGTGCAGTACAGAACAAAAGAACCAATAGCTAAACAAGTAGAACAAGCACGAAAGAATATCTGTAGAAGATTGTCGAATTATCTGTTCCTCGATAAAGAACAGCTACAACAAAGAGCACATGACTAGATGTATTTATTTTATTTCCAAAGTTCCTACTGCCTTCACACTAACTTCTTCCAGGTAGTTATCTTATCTTCACTTTGTGGGACTCCTGATTATGACGACAGTAGACTAGGGCCCTGTTTGGAACCGACTATAATCAGATTCCCGGCCACCGATCGCGAGAATCGCGCCAAACGCAGCACCACATCAGCGATTCTCACGACCACACAAGAGTGCGGGACTGCAAGAATGAACTCTGCGACCGATTAACAGTACCGCAGCCATGGAACCACGGTTCAGCTATCGCACCACGTGGCCACGACCGTGGTCCCAAACAGGGCCTAGAAAAACAAAGGCAATCCAGCACAAGAAAGCACTATTTCTATATGACGCTAGCCACTAGTGTACTTGGTTACCTTTGTGCAAAAGAGAAATGAAATCTCCTTGCCTGTCACCAATAGTAATCAGAAATTACATTCATATAAAGGAAACAAACAGACCAACCAACCCATAGTATGTTATATTCACATACATAATTCTTTTTTACCAGAGTAAAAAAAGAAGGAAAAAACTTGTTAGAAGAGGCATGGATCATAGGACAAAACAGTAACATAAGGCTACCAGGTATATTGTCAGCTTTGTCTCCTGAAAGTGCAACAACATCAACAAACTGCGAGGGTTTCAGTGCTCCATATCGCTTGACGAAGTCTTCAACTCCAAATGAAACCATCCTGCATGTCCAAATCATAAAACTTAACTATTTCAAACATTCAGTTAAGTACTTGCAAACCATTTTAACTTACCCTGATCCGCGTGGAGCAATCCTGAGCAGACGCAAAGAAGGTGACAAAATTTGGAAGAAGTCTTTATCAGGAGAGACAATCCGTACCTTCAGAAGGGGCATTTTAAGACCAAAAGGCACTCGTCATAAATAAGGACCAAAAATATATGAGAATATATTATATGACTGTGGTGTTTTGTGGGTGGATGTGGTGCCGCATTTGGGGATGGGTGATCCAGTTAGTTGTAAATTTTCTGGTCAGATCTTTTCAAGACCTCAAGTTCGAATAGAACATTCTAGGTATTATCAATGATGAACAGTTGATGGATAGAACAACTGAAAGTGACCAATGGCTCCAGTGTTTACCTTGTAACCAGCCGAAACACTGTTTACAGCCAGGGTGCCAATAACATCATCAGCTTCAACGCCTGGAACCTGAATCAATTATTTGACAATGCCAAATATCAGCAGCTATCTCATTTAACGGAGATGCAGCTCCGTGGTACATGGGACATGCATGTTCCCCAAACATACTAATAAATAGTAAATAGCTACCCAGATTGTAGCAAATTCATAACTGATATATTTTTACCTCAATTACTTTTATTGACATCGCCTTAATGGATGCCTTCAAGTATTTCATGCCCTGGACAACGGTGTCAGGTGTTGGGAGTGCAGTTGCTCTTGTAAGCAGGGTACAACATATGACGAAAGGTCATTCCTAAAGGGGGAGAAAAGAATGGTATTGTTTCTTTATAGGATTCAAAAGATGAGAGTAACATGATACAACAGCAAAGGTATCTTCTAAAAAGTGGCTGATGAAAACATCAAAGTTTAAGTGTTGGCATGCTCTCTTTCCAATGAGTAAGCAAAGTATCTCTAAGACCTCCCAACTTGGAGCATCAAAGATGCCCTTGATGCCTCGTATGTTTGTTGCTTCCAATATTCTACGCGTTTTTTTAGTAAAGAGTAACTGGAAAGATAATAAGAACCAAGAAACTAAGCGCCATAAAATTCTTAGAAAATAAAAAGGCAAAATGCAATATTCCAAAACTGGTTTACCCAACACTCCTATACCATTCATACTTCTCTCTACCCAACACTTTCTTGACCAAGGAATGGAGTTCAACAAAACATTGCTTATGTGCAAGCCAGGGCTCCAGGCCGTCAAACACAAATCGTGGATTGAGGCTCAGTCCAAGATCTTTGATGCATCCCCAAGATGCTAACTGACAGCCACAGATTACCTTCTACCATGATCCCATCAATTTGAGACATCTTACACTCTTACCTTTTGCCATGTGACATTCTTTGGATGGCATGGCAGTATAATGACCATATGGAACTCCTGAAAAGAAAAGTTTGGTGACTTCGTTGCTTTAAGAACTTGAGGAAATGAATCACTTTAAATTTGCACAGATACTAGGTCCATCTCACAATCTCATCCACAAGGAATGTTCAGCTTCAAGAAGAAATTCAAGGAGAAAAAAGAAAAAACTAGAACCAACACCCCACCCCACCCAAAAAATAAAGACCCTAAATAAATTGATCTCAAATTTAACCAAACATCTCTGATGAAAATATATTGAATAAAACAATTCGTGAATGGTAACAAGAAATCACATAGCAAGGTAAAGCTTGCAGTGGATCAATACGCTGGTCTAGTGCAATTAATAAGCTCAATAAGTTCAACTGTGCAATCGTTATATTATGGCAAAGATCCAATGCTTATTGAGGAAAAAATGTGACAAGTGTGTGTTGCAGAGATTGATCAATAAGAGTCACTGCATGAATGTTAAAACATTAAACAGAATGTGTATACTCAAATATGAATTATCCTGGGCACAGCTCACCATCGTGGTCAAACACAACCTACAAATGGGTTAAGAAAATCATAAGTGATGGAAGCTATGAGGAAACAACAGATATTGATGCCAGTCGAAACCATGCTAGAACTGAGCATACCGCAGTATGAGATGGAATGAACTCCAGCATGTCAAGAAGCTGCAAAAGGAATTCAGAACAATCACAATGATGAATAACACACAAAGCTAAATATAAAGTTGTAACATGTTAATATGTAGTTTGTCACCTCACAACTCCTTCAAAAAAAAAAATGTAGGTCATTTTAGTTTTGTTCTAAGCCAAACTTCTCTAAAGTTGACCAAGTTTAAAGAAAAATGCACCAATATCTACAACATCAAATTAGTTCGTTAAATTTCCCATGAAATATGTCTTCATAGTGCATTTAGTTGCCATTGTAGATATGAATATATTTTCTATCAACTTGATCAGATTTAGATCAGTTTCACTTACAACAAAACAAAAAATGACCTCCATTTTGGAACAGAGTACTAAAAAAATGTGAACCCACAACACAAAGTATAAAAGTAAATTTTATATTAACATTAACTGATACTGAAGACTGAACTCTTTTAAGATGCAAAACAGCTGAAACAGTCAGCTATGCATAGCAAATCCTTTGTCTTACCAGCAAATCCAAAGTTGCAATGGAATGGTCAAATGGCCATCTACATCCATGCTAGTAGACTTTGTAAACTAGTCTCTATCTATTCCACAATTCCAAAACATCATAAGAGTTTTGCTACAGAGAGGACAGGATTGATGCTCATAGTCCATTTACTCTATTTGTGACAAATGAATTAGGAAAGCTGTAAACCTCCGATCCAAATATAAGTCCATTTGGACTTGAGCATAAGAATTAAGGTGAGAGGTGCATTGACTATATTGCCCATCAATCATTACTACAGTAAAGATGGGTGGCAAGTGTATTGCATTGATTAGTGTGCTGTGTGCACTTAAGTAGGGATAGATACTGAAGAATGAAGCAAAAAATGCATTGGAATTATAATGGACTTATATTTGGTGCATTTCAGCAAAAGGCTAGATGAACTTGTATTTGGGATCGGAGGGAATAGAAACCTAAGGGTAGAATTTGAACTTCTTAGGATCAAGGACCCCATTTGACTATGGAACAATACTACTTACCAGGGATAGAGCTTTGAATATAGTTAAAACCCAATCCCCATTTCCATCAGCATGCTCCAACTGGCCGTGCTGCAGCTGTGCTACAAATGTTAAAGAAAAAAGAGATGACTTGCAGATTTCAGTAATTAAAAATGCAGAGAAAATGAGGAAGAGGGAAAAATAGAGAACAATGTCAAGCAGCTGCTTTTGGTTTAGGTAAAGGAGCTTTTGTCAGACATAACTTTGACATGATTACACTAACATAACTAAAGAAGAACAAGATGCTAGTCAAACAAGCTTTAAACAGCATAACACAAATTAAAGCAAGGACAATTTTCAAGAGACTAGATATGCCTAGCTTAGTCTAGGCAATCCAGCAGCTAAACTGTCAGCCTACAAATACTGCACATCTTATGGGTAAATGATATGACATAAATGGATCTATATTACGAAATTATTCAATTAAACATGATGTGAAGATTTTTTTTCCATTATATTTTTGTGTATATGACCCTTGATTATTCTACAGCTTTAAAATAATGCAAAAACTAAGGCCAACAATTCAGTAGTTCAGTTATAGTATACCATTTGCCGATGGAAGTATATAGTTATAGACATCATTTTGTTTCCTTTCTAAATGTTTACTAGTATAAGAAACAGGAAGCAGAAGGCAAACAACACAGATCGACAAAGCGGTGCAGTGAAGAAGAAATCAGGAAGAAACTAACCTAATATCTTGTAGTAGGATCTGTACATCACTGACGTTCCATCAACTAGCATTATTCTGCTCTTTGAAGGATCAGCATGAGGGGCACCCTCAGTCGGATTTGACAATGTGTCCAATATGCTTGAGGATATGCTGTCATCATACAGTGGAATGCGTGGAGTAATCTGCACTGATGGTCCTTGAAAACACTCAGTCAAGTCTGTGACTGGCAGAACTGACTGCTCCGAAAATCCTGATATTAAAGAGAAAACTAAGAACAGTTAATTGATGCTAGCATCCTTGAAGTTATCATGATGAACTTTGAACAGCAATCACTTTGAAGCTGAAAAAAAAATGCTCGACAGATCCAACACGCTATGCAACTATGAGCAAAAATAAATCAGTGGCAGTCCAAAACTGCATATAATGTGGTTACCACCTTAACGAAGTAATCGAACTACACAATTCCGATTTTGCACATCGAATAACCTTGAGTATAAAAGTATAAACTATGGCAATGCAATCCAAGTATCAGTAGATGGCTCGTGAACTTCCTGGTGCTACTAGGGCTAATGGGCATCCCACAAACACACTTCGCCCCCAAGTCGTCACGCCAAAAGAGGAGAACGGATTTAGTGATAACATTTACCTTCCTGAATACGGTGAGTGGCGACGGGAGCTGCCGCGAAGCGGATGCACGGTAGAGGAGGAGGCGGGGCGCCGCAGCGACGCGGAGGAAGCAGCAGGCCATCGGCGGAGACTACCTCTTCCGCATCGCCCGCGTGGATTGTGGATGGATGGTGGTGGCGGGAAGAAGGGCTAGGGTTTAGGAGTTCTGGATTGGGAAGGCGGGGATGAGCATGTAGAGGACGAGGTGTTCGACAGAATGCGCGGGCGGACTGTGGAGAAAAGGACTGCAGCCTAGAGGAGCGCAGCCAGCAGCGGCAGGCAGGCAGGTAGCAAGACTGCAAGAGGCTGAGAACGGGCGGCTTGGTGTTGGTGGGCTTTCGACTGGGCTGCGCTTAGTTCGTCTATGGTATAGTTTAGTAGTATCACAGGTCCCCTCTAACACAAATCCATTGTCGTCTAGTCCGGTTAGGATACCTGGCTTTCACCCAGGCGACCCGGGTTCAAATCCCGGCAATGGAACACTTTTTAAATTTGTTTTCCTTCCGGTCTTCTTTTTAAGTTGAAGTTTTTTAAAAAAGAAATCCTCTCGGTCTTCTTGCTCCTTTTCTTAACCCGGCAATGGAACATTTTTTTAATTTGAAGTTTTCATTTTTCTTTCGGCCTTCTTTTTTGGTTGGAGTTTTTTAATGACCTTTTTCGGTCTTCTTGCTCCGTTTTCTTCTATTTGGAGGTTGAGGGACAATTTGTGCGAATACCAGCAAGACAGCAGGCTTTAGCATGAAGTTACCTAATTATATATTTTCTTGTACACAGCAGAACTCCTCTCCTCACTCAATTTCAAATTATAAGTTACTCCCTCCGTTTAAAATTATAGGTCGCTTTGATTTTTTATTCATTTATTTTGCTATGTATCTAAATATAATATAACATGGAGGGAGTATTTTAACTTTGACATAATGCATATTTGGGTAAATAGCCAGAACGACTTACAATTTAGAATGGAAAGAGAACAAATGTGATTCGGTAAATCTCATCACATTGTGAGTATCTGCCTCGAAACAAAGATAACACTAAATCAAATGTCTCTACACGCATGTACAGAGATCATTCTCCATCCCCAATCTCCTCATCCGCCGCACGTTTTTCATATACGCACCTAGAGATCACTAGAATGTATAATGTCTCTGTTGTGTAGTTTGTATTTGTGCTAGAGTGGGATTGGTGAATTATGTGTGCATTGCAGTTCACTAGTTTTTTTCTTTTTTGATATTAATGCGGAGAGAGGATCCCACCAGTTTACAGGTCACTGGTTGCGTGCTTGTGCTAAAACTTGATTTTCCCTTAGTTTAGCTATTTTTCATTTATATTCCGTGATGTACCAAATGCACGTGGATTATCCTCTATGTAGGGACAATGATGGGGACCAAGGGCGTGTTTGGTTCCCCACCGAACTGTGCCATGCAATGTATGGCGACGCCACACTTGGTGACGGCAGAATCGAGCGCCACAACCATGGCGGAAATATAACCTGTAAAAGTTGTAGCTGCCTAACTTTAATCAGTAACCAAACAGCAGTGTAGCAGTGTTGACTATGGCGTGGCGCGGTGGCGCCGTATGGCTAGGAACCAAACACTCCCCAAATCTCCCTTGCAAGCTTTGGAGAGAGGTGACAGGGATTTTCTGTAACACCCCTGGGTTAAATACCTAATTAGCGATAGGTTAAAGATAATAAAACTCGATTAGTAAGTTTCATGTGCTCTGTAATGATCTTTCTATTGTAATACTAACAATGTGGAGTAAAAGTTCTTTTAAATTATAGCCAACTCAAATCTTTTTAGGGAAAGACAAATCTTTTGTCAGTAATAAAAATGTGCATGAATAGTGTTGCTTAAGTGCTTTGCATGAACCTAAGTGTATTTTGATCGTATGCGGTGTTTGCATAATGTTGGAAATCAAAAGAGCACAAAATGATGAGGCTTTCTTTGTTTGAATCACCTTTTGTTAATATAAGGTCAACATATGTGATGTCAACCAACTTTAATTTTTTTATGCTTAAACATCTCTAAATGAGTTTGCAAACAAAAGTTATTTATGGTTTATGTTGGAAAAATGTGAAGAAAATGTCTAAAAATACCAAAAAACCTAACTGGATTTTAATTGCTTAGTAGTTTTTGAGAGCTACATAAATAATCATTTTCTTAATATACTTAAAATTTTGTTAATATGAAAAGCGCAGTATAAGTCATGTACTTCCTGGTAGGGTTAGGCCCGGTCCTGGCGGGGGTCGAGCAGTGCCCCCGCACTGGGCCCTCGGATCCTTGGGGCCCTCCCAGGAATCTAAAGGCAGCGTTGGTTTGGCTGTCAGGCACGTTGCCGGTTTAATTTGCGACACGTTCAACCTTGTGGCATCGTTTCACTTAATGCTCGAGTTGTAGCCTATACTTGTATAATCTCAGCTTCTATACATATGCTTGTGCAACGTGACGTGATCCACGTGACTTTGTCGATAGACTATTAATTCCTACTTCCTCTGTGTCACATTATAAGATGTTTTGATAATTCTATATTTATATCTTTTACTATGTATCTAGACATAATATATCTAGGTGCATAGTAAAAGTTATGAATCTAAAAAAACTAAAATATCTTATAATTTGAAACGGAATACCTTTTATCGTTTACTCAGTCTCACTATTTGTTACTTCGTCCATCCTAAAATAAGTACATACCTTATTAATCAAGGAGTCAAATATTTTTAAGTTTGATCAAATATATATACACAATAATACTAATATTTATTATGTGCAATAAGCATTATTACATTAGTTGTGCATTATATATTTATAATAAACTATTTTAAGATACAAATATTGATATTATTTTATAGTTAAATTTGAAAGAGCTTGACTCTGTGAGAAGCGTGATGTGTGTTTATTTTAAGACAGAATGAAAATATATTAAATACCAAACTAAAACACCGTGATGGATCCCCTGCACGTACGGATTGGCGCACAAAATTACATAATCATTTTTTACCTGTAAATATTAAATTGCTTGATAATTTTAGATGTGTTTATTGGTAACATTTCATATGCATATTTTCCCTTTATTTCAATTTTTAAGGGGCCTTCGTCTATAATTTCGCTCTAGGCCCTTAAACCCTCAAGACCGGCCCTGGGTAGGGTGCTTGTTTGTGCCTAATTTGAACGTTTGACAGTTTAGTTAGTGCTCCCAAATTTGAATAAAATATTGTTTCCTGGGTGACTTAGAAAGTTATGCTCTGTGATTTCGCTGACACTACCAAATTTGAGCGTGTTTATCTCCTAATCCGCTGCCCTAATGACCTTGGTCCCTTAATAAGAATAGAAGTTTAGCCTGAGGTGAAGATCTTTTGTTACAGTACCTGCTCCAAATCTTGACGGAATATGCCAAAACAGTGCGGTCAAGGGAAGCACATCGCACCGACACGCCTTACCCTCTTGTCGCCGCCCATGCCCTCGCTCTCGCTCGCTGCGCGCCGGCGCCTTGAACGCCATGCCGCCGCCCATCGCCGCCTCCTCTCCGCTCTGCCACGCCCAGGCGCCCATGCCGCCACTGCTGCTCCTCGCCACGACCTTATCCCATCGCTTCCGGCCTTCTTTTATCGCTCCCTTCCTTTCGCTTGCTTTTGCTTTACCGCCCGCCATGGCCGAGCTCTAGAGCTCAGCTGGCCACCACCGTCCGTTCTCGCTTCTGCTGCGTTCGGTCATAGGCCAAGTTGATCTCGCCCCACCTCCACCTCGCCCCTCGTTGTGCCCAGCTACGTGCTCGTCGTAGCCGCGTTCTTTGGAGCCGCCAGTAGCCCTCTCGGGCCGCCGCCACAGACGAGCACTCGGCCCGCCCATCGCACTGACTGCCTGCGGCGGATCCCAGCCATGGGCACTCTGGGCAGCCCGGTTCCAGCGCAGCTTCGCCCTCATCGCCTGTCATACCCCACGCGCCGCCCATGGCCGTCGCCCTCTGCAGAAGAGCCGCGACGCACACGCTGGCCGCCCTCCACACTCCTCCGCCTGAAGCTTCCGCCACCCCCACGCATGCGGCCGGGGTCACTCTGTCCCCCAAGACACCGCCCTCGCCCTCGTCGGTGGCCTCGGCCAACCAAATCGGTCTCGCCACGAGCCTCCTCTGCTTTCGGTGAAGACGAGGAAGAAGAGAAGGACCTAGCGATAAATAAAAGCTTTTTCAGGGTTTCCAATGTAAATCTCATGACTCACATGAATAGTACTGCTAGATCATGCAGGTTGATTTAGGAAAAGATCAGGGGCCTCGGTGCAAAGTTTTTGTCTTTTATGGTTTTTCCTTTTCTTTTATGTTTTATTCGGCTGAAACTTTGAAAATTCATAGTAAATTGTAAAAAAATCCTAAAAATACCAAACTAGTTTTGTGACACTCCACATGACTAGATCTATGCATTAGATATATAATATCGCATGTTTTAGTATAAAATTATTGTTGTATTTTCATATCTATGTTTTTTCTTGGTAAATTAATAGAGGATGTTTGGGTAGTGCAAATGCAGTGAAATTTTTATGGTAAACTAGTATGGATGTGCGTGTGCTCTGATAAAAATTTCATGTCCAATGGATTTTTATTTACTGAGTTATTGAATTATCACGTGTCACATGCTTTTATTGCCATTAAATCTTAATTAGCCGTTAGTAAATAATATGCTTATCTAGAAATTATGAAATTCATGCGGTAGTTATGTTTAGTTAAGATGTATCACCCATAAATTGTTTATGTCCAAAATAGATATTTGGTGCGTCACATTTTTATTACTTGGTTATAATTATTAAAGCTTTTATATATGTTAGGTGTTTAGATTATGGTTAATATACGTTTGTCCAGATTTATGTTAGGTGGTTGGACCATGGGACTAGTACCCCAGCCTCAAGGTGGATAGGCACAGTCCCAAAACATACCAATATATCACTTACACATGTTTAGATTGTGCTCCTGACGGACTCCAAAGATATCCAATCCTAAAATGAAATTACTGCTCGTGGAATCGGGCAACGATTTTAGAGTAAAACCAACTAAATGTTGTCTTTTGTAGATTGTCTATGGAAACCACTCACAGGCAAGTTGCCTCATTTGGCTAGATTCGCTCTGGTGGATCGTCAGGTGGACTGTTCGTCAGTGCACCCTAATCACTCAGAAATCCAAATCCATAGGGGCTAAGCGTAGATTGAGTTTTTGCTTTCGTGTTGAGCTTGTGTTTGTGTGCTTTGGAGTCCATCTAGCAAAGTATATTTGTGTAGTTGGTGCCTAGGTGAAGCTACCATCCATGATGATTTCTATGTGATAGCAAGCTACTTTGGTCTCTATGCAAACACTGGCGCAGCCACCCTAGGGGTGGGGTGGGGCGGCCGCCCCAGCTACCAGCGAGCTCGCACCAGACCCCTGGACCCCCGCTTCTTCCCTAACCCCGGTCCCCGGCGGCATCGCGGCAATGAGGAGCGAGCAACCGAGCACGAACAGAGCGACTGCAACGATGAAGAAGAAACCAGGAGGCCTTTTCCTTCACTTTAGCCCAGTAGAGGCGAGAGGCCCACCAAAGCCCATCGTTGGAATCTTTCCCCTATCCCCATCCCCAATTTCTGAATCAACGAAACGCAGATGCCCTAGGAGAGACCGTGAGAGCTGGTCACCGCCATCGGCCCGCATGGCGCCCCTCCATTGCTGGCTGCGCTATGTCTCTGACAAAGCGACCACATTGCACTGGCCCCTCCTGCTCTGTTTCTCTCTTGGGCAGCTGCGATGTAGGGAGGACCGAAGGAGGACAGGAGGAGGTCCACCATGAGGAGGGTGAGGGTGTACCCGGCACTGGGGCTAGCCGCGGTCGTGGAGAGTTAGTTAGAGAGCAACCGCTGTCATGGACAGTTAGCTAGAGAGCACCAGCGGCAGCACCTCAATTTACAGGTTCATCCATTCGTTATTTGTATTTTTGCAATGTATGGATCAACTGATAAAGAACTACTAGTTTATTCTTCAATTTGAGGTAACATCTCGTGTTCCTTGTCTACTTTTCGTCATAATATGTGATTGTAGCGGTTTCGCCATGATTTGTGTGATTGTAGTACGTGAATGCGGCACCATTGTGAATATAGTGTCTTTTTGGTTCATTTCTTCATTGCAATTCGCCCCACCTATAACCTTTTCATGGCTCCGTCACTGTGTGCAAATATGAATGGGCAAAGACCCCCCCTACTTCAAGACTTCTATAGGGCTACTAAAAGGCAAGATCCTCTTTCTGCATTGTTCACTTGCTCTTTAATTTGGACCAATGTATTCAGCTGTCTGTTAGATAAGGTAATGGCCAAATGACACATCAATGGGATTTTTCTTGATATGATATATGGTTGGATTTCTAATGTTTAGTACGTTGATGATACTATCATCATGGCGGACGACGGTGATAAGTCCATCTTAAATCTTAAAATCATCTTCTACTATTTTGAATGGCTGTCTGATCTCTAAATTAGATGACATAAGAGTGAAGCCTATGTTTATGGTGTTTCACAGGGTGAGAGAAAGAATGGCAAACTTGTTAAATTGGTACTTGGGAACTTTGCGTACGAAGTACCTGAACATTATTTTAACATCTGGCAACAAATTATGTATCACCGCTTTTGCTGGGATTCAGAGCAAGACGATCAAGGGACTTGATCCTTAGAAGGGCAACAACACCACATCTGAGGGTAAATTGATTCTTACCGATTCTTGCTTAACCAGCTTGCCTATTTTCGGTTTGGGTTTCTACCTTCCGCCGATTGGAGCTCACTCCAAGATGGATAGCTCCGGGGCAAATTTTTTATGCAGGGTAGAAAACAAGTTTAGGCCAAATGGAAGTATGTGAGCAAGCCAAAGGATAGAGGTCTAGGCATTATCGATACTACAACGATGAATGAATGTTTACTACTTCCAAATTATAAGTCGTTCGAACGACTTATAAGGCCATGTTCGCTTAAACTACTTCAGCAATACTTTTTAGCGAAAGAACAGTGTTTTTCTCTCACAACAAATCAGCATAAGCATCAGCATAAGCTAAAATGGAGTTAGAAAGTTACTCCGACTTCGGGAGAACTTGGTACAAGTTCCTAATTCCTCGGCGTCTTTCGACGAGATGGCCTGCATATTGCAACTACTCTTTCAGTCCAAAAAAGAATGACGCTATGAGATACATGCTGATCAAACTTTTTCAAGTTTAACTAGTTTTAGAAAAAATATTAGCAACATATGTATCACTAAATAAATTTATTATGAAAATAAATTTAGCAATTTATTTAATGATACTAATTATGTATTATAAATATTAGTATTCTTTATATATAATTAGTCAAAGTAAAAAAAATGTTTGACTTTTCAGAGAGTGAAAATGACATTGTTTATGGGTCGGAGGGAGTAGCAGCAAAATTCGCCAAAATTCAAGCAAGCAGCAACACGTTACGCGCATGGAAACGCACAGATACGTACATTACATGACAGTATGATGATCATTACAAGTACTAAAGCTGTCACGAGCGTTGGGTATCTCTCGTAGTATCCGACAACCGACACCGATCCCTCGGTATATCGTACATTTGTACATCACACACATTCACACACGCATCTTGACGAGGTCTCAGGCGCCCCTCGAAACGATCAGCGATGTTGCTGCCGCCGGGACGCCGCATCCTCGGAGTCAGCGCCGTACTCGCTTGTCCCGCTGTACTCGTTGCTGTACTCGCTGCTCTCGAAGGCCACCTTCCTGAACCTGTTGATGTTGGACGCGTAGTTGCCGCCGGAGTCGTATTCCGAGCCAGAGCTGAACATCATGCTCTGCCCTGGCTTCACCCCCTCGTTCAGGTCGTCCAGCGACGCGTCCCCTTCCAGAGCACGAACAATCTGCAGAAACGGGGGACAGAGGGCAAAACAATTCATGGTAAATCTCGAATGTCTTGCATCATTTCGCAGGCTAGCGGTCTCGAACGCAAAATTCAGGAAGCCGAAGCTGAAACTCACCTGTTTCATCTTGGGCCGCCGCTTGGCTGAGTGGCGGACGGCAGCGGCAGCGGAGGCACACATCCGCTCCAGCTCCAGCCGGTTGATCCTGTTCTCCAGCCGCGGGTCCAGCAGCTCGTCGAAGTTGCCTTCCTCAGACAAGGCGCGCGCCAAGAGAGGCCTCGCCTGCGCACCACCGCCGCGAACGTGTGAGAATCCAGCGTGCGAACCCTTGCATGCATGCGCGGATGGAGGCAGCTGCAATGCAATGCAAGGCAACACAACACAGAGGGGGAGGGAGGCCAGCGTACCCAGTCAACCAGGCTGTCCTCCATGTAGTTTGTGGGATCAACCGGTCTCTTGCCGGTGATGAGCTCCAGGAGCATGACGCCGAAGGAGAACACGTCCGACTTGTCGGTGAGCTTGCCGCTCGACGCGTACTCCGGGGCCAAATACCTGCGCGCATACAGGGAAACGGGCCGATCGGTCATCCAGGCACCTTTTTTTTTTTTTTGGCATCCTTTGTGTCGCCGAATGCACGCTTGCCGTCGGCGCGGCATCGAGCTTACCCGAAAGTTCCCATGACGCGCGTGGAGACGTGCGTGTTGGTGTCTGTGGTCAGCTTGGCAAGTCCGAAATCCGCGACCTGAGACGTACCAGCGCGAACGAGTTACAAATTCACTTCGGTGATCCGCCCGGTCTTGTTTTGTTCAGTCAAACGCGTACCTTGGCCTCGAAATTTTCGTCCAGAAGGATGTTGGCCGCCTTGATATCACGGTGGATGATCCTGGGGTGGCCTTAATTTGTGTTTCACCATGCACATTGTCATTAGCAAGGAAAATCGTCAAAGATGAACATGGGATACCTCGCAAGAAATCGTCAAGCGACAGAAGGAACTAATCGATTTGGAGCTTACAATCTTCGTGCAGGTAAGCCAGGCCCTTGGCGGAGCCGAGGGCGACGGCGAGCCTCCTCGGCCACTCCATCACCGGCACGCCCTTCCCTGCACCCACCACGCAATGCATCACAACCAGCAATCAGGATGTCCAGGACGGAAAAGGAAAAGCTCAAGAGCGCAACGCACGCGCCGCGTACGGACCGTGGAGGTGGTGCTCGAGGGTATTGTTGGGCACGAACTCGTAGACAAGCAGGCGCTGGGAGGAGCCGGCGATGCAGTACCCGACGAGGGTGACGAGGTGGCGGTGGTGGACTCGGCTGATGATCTCCACCTCGGCCTGGAACTCGCGCTCGCCCTGCCCGCTCCCGGCCTTGAGCTGCTTCACGGCCACCTCCTTGCCGCTGCCCGCGAGTACGCCCTTGTACACGTACCCGAACCCGCCCTGCCCCAGCACGTTCGCCGACGAGAAGCCGCCCGTCGCCGCCGCCAGCTCGTCGTACGAGAACGAGCTCTTGGAGAACCCCAGAGACGGCATGCCCGGCGACGGCGGCATCTGCCCGTGCGAGCCGCTCATGTCCCCGCTCGCCGGCGAGTACGGCGCGTGCCAGCCGTGGTCCATCGCGCTGCTCTGCCACTTGGGCATGCTGTTCGCGTAGAAGACGTTCCCTGCACGCACGCACGCCATGTTAGTTGTTTGTCCGCACTCTCGCCATTTGCATGTCGTCAGCATGCAGCGTGTACCGTGCCCGTCGGTGTAGTACGGCATGTTCATGTGCGGGGGCTTCTTCCTCCTCTTCTTCTTGGCGCAGCACACGCACGCGGCGATGCACATCAGCAGGCCGAAGGCCAGGACCCCGATCACCACGCCGGCCAGGATGACACCCACCTGCGCTGACCCGTTGCTGCTGCTGCTCCCGCTCTTGCTGCGGCTACTACTCTTGTCGGAGTCACCACCGCTGCGCTTCGGAGCCGGTTGTGACGGGGAGTCCCTTGACGGCGCTGCCGGCCGCGAGCCTCTGGCCGCAGGCGCCGGGGGTGGCAACGCGCTGCTATTCTGCGGCGACGCCGGTGGCGGCGACAGCGACGGTGTGGGTGGCGACGGCGACGGCGACGGCGGTGGCGAGCCCGAGCCCGAGCCGGAGGGCTTGGGCGACGAGTTGGAAGGAGGCGGCGACGACGTGTCGTCATCAGCTGGAGCGGGCAATCCCAATCCGTCTAGCGGCGTGGCCATGATTGTTTAACGCCTTAACGGGGATGGAGTTCTCTCCCGGTGAGGAGGATGATCCACCCCACGTCCCCACCCTCTAGAGGGTGGGCCGGGGTTGGATTGGAATGGCGCACCTCCTCCTCCCGTCGGCGTGATGAACCCCTGCAATGCAAATGCCGCCAGAGCCGGGATCAGAGGCGCGAGGAACCAAGCCGATATACAAAGGCGTCAAAACGCGAAGAATTCATGCGCTCATGGCGTACCTTCCTATTCTCCGTGTTCTTCTGCGGAAGAAGCGAAGGGGTTGAAACCGAACCACGGAGACGGAGGAAAGGGAAGTAGGCTCAAAGCGTCACATTGCCCAACCTCCACCGCACCGCCATGCGACCATGCCTCATTTCCAGGACGAGAGCCGTTGCCCTCCTTGGTAATTTTTCCATTTTTAGCCATTGGGATGCTGTCGGCCATTGGAGCTCGGTGATTTACAGAATGTCAGACGTGTGACGTGTCCCAAAATGTGTGCATCTGACATCTTGTAGTCTATTTTCCCCTTTGAGACAAGAACACTTCATGACTTTATCTCCGTACAATCGTCGGTGCCATCTTCCCTTCCGTGACGACAAATGTGTGCACAGTGCAGAGTATCCACAGATGCAGAGCATATGACTCAGCTTCGCAACCGAGTCGTACCTTAAAATTGCGATTTTTTTTAATTTTAACACATTTTTTAACTAATTTTAAATCTAACACTGTTTTTTTCTTCAAATCTAACACTTTTGACGGCGCCTATTGCCATGGCGCGGCGAAATGCCTGTGCCACGCCATGCATGGTGGCGCGACGAGAGGGCTGACGTGGCGACGACCTGGACACTGACCGATGACGTGGCAGGATCTGCTGTGCCACCGATCTTGGCGCGGCGCCAAGAACCACGGCGCGGCAGTCCCCGGCACGCGTGACCCACTTCCACATGTGTAGTCAAGCGTCCGCGCCCCGACAGCCTATTGCATGCGACAGGCCTGCAGCCTACTACATGCACCAAAGCCTGTGTTCAAGCGGCACGGAAACCAATAAAACATAAATATTTTATTTAAATTGGTATATCTTTTAAATGATGTATTTATTTTCAATTCTGCACCGAAATATTCTACGTGACGAGACGAACAAAACTAGACCCCACATGCTATGTTTTGAAGAATTTTATTTTAGTAGCAATTTATGCGTAAAAATGTGCTAGGTGATTTATGAAAAAGTTGTTACCATAAAATACTAAATTTGCTATTAAAAAATATACTAAAGTTTTTACATGATATGAGTATGCGCATCGATTGTTGTCACGAGAATATATTATATATTATTGGCCATGTTCGGCTTACCCTATATCCGACTTGTTCGGCTTATTTTTTCCAGCCGGAACAATATTTTTCTCTCATAACATTTCAGTCAGAACAGTGTTTTTCAGCCAAGATTCAGCAAACCGAACGGGGCCATTATATTGTTGCCATGAGGGTAGCGATACAAAATAAGGCAAGCTACAATCTTAGAGCAAATTATTAGAACAAACATTTGCATAAGCTGCCAACCAAAGGAGCAAGTTATTATAAAACCCATTTATAAGCCGGGAAACATGACCAACAATCAGTTGGAGGGACATTTATTAACAAGACAAGAGTAGCGACCCAAATAATATAAATTGCACCTAGGGCAAATTATTAGAAGAAGTATTACATAAGGTGCCAACTTTACAAGTAAGCTATTATACAACTAATAGGTAGGATTTAGAAATACATTCGAACCTAAAAGGCAGACTAAAAACAGACACTAAAAATACAGAAACTAAAAATACTTGATTGAAAACTAAAACTAAAAAAATGAAAAAAAAACTAAATACTTGACCGTAAGTTTTTTTGCTCAAAAAGTTTTTGCTTACCACTATATAAAATATAAGTTCTTGCCTATTTCAGTTTTATGTTTCATTTTTTATTGTGTATATTTTTTTAGTTTCATTATTTTATTTTTTCATTGTTTCTTTTATTTTTAGTTACATATTTTTTCAATGTTTATTTATTTTCTGTTTTCAGTCATTTTTTTCATTTTTTTTAGTTCCAGTTTTCAGTCAAGTATTTTTAGTTTCTGTTTTTAGTCTGTCTTTTAGGTTCGAATGTATTCCTAAATCCTACCTATTAGTTGTATAATAGCTTACCCGTAAAGTTGGCACCTTATGCAATGCTTCTTCTAATAATTTGCCCTGGGTGCAACTTGTATTATTTGGGTCGCTACTCTTGTCTTCTTAATAAATGTCCCTCCAACTGACTACTGGTCATGTTTTCCGGCTTATAAATAGGTTTTATAATAATTTGCTCCTTTGGTTGACAACTTATATAAATGCTTGTTCTAATAATTTGCCCCAAGATTGTAACTTGCCTTATTTTATATCGCTACCCTCATGGCAACAATCAATGCGCATACTCATACTCCCTCCGTCCGTGAATACAGGGCGCCATTCCATTTTCACCAAGACCAATAAACGAGTTTAATGTTGTGGCTTCCAAGGAGAAGGCTTCGGCTCCGCGTCTAATTAATTAGCTGTCGCGCATGCGTGCATGCATCAACGGCGAGCCCATTCACTCTTCCGCGCGCCAAAGCAACGGCTCGGACTATTCCCTTGCCCTGCGCTGCATGCATGCAGATGGATTTTCTTTCCCGTTGGCGCGGCAATGAAACTGCAGCACGGCGCGCGCTAATTTCTCTCGCATGTAACGGAAATTTCCTTCCTTGGCGCGTGCCTGTTTAGTCCCTTGGCGCGTACCAAATTTTCATTGGCGCTAATGGAAATTGATTTGCATGTGGCGCCATGGCCTGTGCCTCCGGTATGTTCCTCCTATAAATAGGGGAATGCTTATTCACAGTGGACACCACACATCTTACTCCTCTAATCTTCCCTCTACTCATAATGTCCGGTCTAGATTTGAATCAACCTATTGATTGGGATGAAATTGAGGAATTTGAAGAGGCGTACTAGATTTGGACTATGATTTCCTTTGGGACCCCGGCAACGAAGGTACTCATGGTTTCCATTTCTATGTTTCGATTATGTTTTCATGTGCGTCTTTCCAAGTGTAATATTTCGGTGGCATCGTAGGTGATGGCGATGACGACGAGATCTACAACGACGCAGCTGATGGCACGGATGAAGCTGGAGCTGAAGGAGAGGCCGTGGCTCAACCTGAAGCTGGAGAAGCGGACAACGGTGTACACACCATGGACCAAACTGAAGAAACAGACAACGGTGCACATGCCATGGACCAAAATGACGCCGCTGCCGATGAAGCATTCGATTCAGGTTAGTACCCGATGGACGTTCTGATGCTGGCGTCAATGTTTTTTCCATTTATTTTTGTTGCTGCGTGCATGTCCCATGCACGTACGACTGTTTGAACACGAGCATGTTTTTTGTGTGTGTGGGCACTCCTAACAATATCAAGAGGAGGAGGCACTACCCTCCTGACATAAAAAGGGTCATCTATGCCATGTGCTTAGAAAGATCAGCTCCAGGCATGACGAAGGAAGGAGTAACGAAGTCCGTTGCTGCTAATATGGGTGTTCCGTGGAGAGTTGTCCAGTGCGTATGGCAAGATGGACAAACTGGTGGTGGAATTTTAGCTTTTGAAAACAAAAAGAAAAAATTTTAAACATCATTAGACGGACAATCGCAAGGGCTTTCTCATCCTTTTCTGCTTCAGCAGCAACGTGTGCAGCAATACTAGCTTCTTCTTCGGTGTCACCGGCCGCTTCACTTTCGTCCATTATTGTGAGCGGATGAGCTCCACCAGTGTTGGACAGAGCTCCCGCACGGCGGAGCTCCACTTGCTGACGGAGACGGAGCACTCGCGCGCGGCCAAGCTCGGCCTGCGCTTGCCGTCGCATGCGGATGGCGCAGACACGGAGCACTCGAGCACGGCCGAGCTCCTTCTGTGCCCTCCGACGCATGCGCCAAGCAATGGCGAACTGCTGCCTTGCCTGCACCGCAGCAGCCTCCGCAGCCACAGTCACCTCTGCCATCTTCGTCGCTGCACAAAAATGTTAGATTCTGCACTAGTCTCACAGAAGAAGATGCTGCTTACTCATGGAGCGAGAAGATGGCCACTAGAGAAAAGAGGATGCATCCAGAGAACTTATAGTGCTTGCCTTCGTATAGGAGTAGTACTACTAGTCTCGCTCGAGAGAACATGCATGCGCTGTGAGTGTAACGGCCAGCTGCATGCAGCGTGGGAGCCGAGGAGAAGGGCGACGCAAGTTAAATGCTGCATGCGCGCGTGAACTGCCGCCGAGCCGCCACCACCCTGTATTCCCGGACTTGAAGAAAAAGCAGTTACGCCCTGTATTCACGGACGGAGGGAGTATCATGTAAAAACTTTAGTATATTTTTAATAGCAAATTTAGTATTTCATGGTAACATCTTTTTCATAAATCACCTAGCACATTTTTACGCATAAATTGCTACTAAAAAAAAATTCTTCAAAACATAGGCACATGGAGTCTAGTTTTGTTCGTCTCATCACGTAGAATATTTCAGTGCAAACGGAATTGAAAATGGATACATCATTTAAAAGATATACCAATTTAAATAAAATATTTATGTTTTATTGGTTTCCGTGCCGCTTGAACACAGGCTTCGGTGCATGCAGTAGGCTGCAGGCCTGTCGTGCCGCGGGCGCGCGCATGCAATAGGCTGTCGGGGCGCGGACGCTTGACTACGCATGTGGAAGTGGGTCACGCGTGCCGGGGACTGCCGCGCCGTGGTCCTTGGCACGGCAGATCGGTGGCGCGGTAGGCCCTGCCACGTCACCGGTCAGCGTCCCGGTCATCGCCACGTCAGCCCTCTCGCCGCGTCATCATACATGGCGCGGCACAGGCATTTCGCCGCGCCATAGCAATAGGCGCGGCTAAAAGTGTTATATTTGAAAAAAAAAATTAAACAGTGTTAGATTTAAAATTAGTTTAAAAAATGTAAAAATTAAAAAAAACCTCAAAATTGCTACCAACTGTCAATAATTCTCACAAACAATACTCACCAACAGAGTTATCTAGCATTGAAACAACTGGCCAAGATTTCTGGTGGAATCAGTGGTATCTTTGCATGCATCAAATAAAGCAAGAGAATTGGTTCTTTGAGAAAAATAAAGGAGGAGAGTTTCACAGGCAAAATTTCTGGTGGAACCCTTTTGATTCTAATAATGTTACAAAAAAAATCTGGGTTCGCCGAATAGCAAAAATGCAGAGCCAGCAAAACGCTGCCAGTTTTGACAAAAGATTATATCAGTTCATATCGATGCACTTAAGTCAGCTGCACAAACTAAATTATCAATCAAGCACTTGTTCCATATCTGCGTCTTCACCTCCTGAAAACACTACAGGAGTTCTCGTAAAGCTCTTGGGCAGCTTGAACAGTGGTCCATCTCCATCTAATCTACCCATGTATGCCATTCCGAGAGAACAACCCAGAGCTCGAGCAACCGGAACAGCAACAGCATTTCCAACCTGCATATATCTACATCCAAAACGCACAACACAATATGACCAGCTTCATAGCATAAACAACGAACAAGTCAGTATGTTCAATCGAACTGATGTGAACATGGTAGAGAAAGTTACTTCTGCTTTATTGGGCCAAACAGCCTGTAATAATCAGGAAAACTTTGCAGCCTTGCATTTTCACGGATGGTCAAAACTCGAGCTTGACTGGGATACAAAATAATCTGCAAAAGATCATCCAGGCTCAATCACCAAAAAAAAAACAGGCTTCGTACTGTAGATATATAAAGGAATTCTTATAGTCTTAACCTGATTGTGAGGCTCAGCTCTGGTAACAACAGTGGGAACTATTTCATCCCACCACAGACGTCCAAACGGTCTGCAAAGCATAAACAAGTGTTACACACCAAGTTCTATATAGAATAAACATGAAGTTTCATTCAGTACACCTTTGAGGTCACGAAAGTTGGCCCCCTAAAATGCAATAATTGCTAAGGGAGTACTTGACATGACAAACAATAGATAGTATGATATTCATCATCACTGGCTAACCTTTTTAAGAGGAATCTGCTGCACACGCTCGTAATCATCATTGTTTAGTTTTAGAGGCTGATGGTCAAACAGTTTACCTTCGCCAGAATCAACCTCTCCATCGAAGGAGTAGTCCATCATGGCTTAGAACAATAACAGAATTTCCAGAATAACAATATAATCAATAGAGTATACAAAAGCGATCAAATGGTAAAGAAAATGCAAAAGGCGTTATCAAAACTACCCACCAACTGAATATTTTTAGGCAACGTATCAGGTGCAAACCAACCAACCAGTGCAAACTTGAAAACTACCTATCAGAACCACTAGATGCTGATCCAATGGATGGGGTGAGAGGTGGGATTTTTTTTGCGCTTAAGCCCCCCACCCGCCGGCCTTTTTTTTGTGCTTAAGCCCCCTCACCCCATCCATTGGATCAGCATCTAGTGGTCCTGATTGATAGTTTCCAAGTTTGTATAGGTTGGTTGGTTTGCACCTGATATGTTGCCATATTTTTAAGGAAAAAAGAATCACTTTATGAATACAAATAATAAAGATTACACATGGTCACTTATTGTTCTATGGTTATCAAGTTCAATTGGCAACACTTGGTGGGTTACCTTTACGGTTAAGCCGGATGTAGCATTGGAATTCTGTTTTAGGGCCAACGATAAAGTCCATCACATCTTTGGGTTGATGGTTTGCAACCTGTAGAAAATAATATATAGTGCAAACAGAAAAAGAATACCATAAATAATGTTTAAGCAGAATCTTAACAAAAGGGTAAAGACAAGGTAAAATATAAACCACTAACCTCTGGTAAATCGGATATAGCATCTGCAAGGCCATATGCTACCACACTTTGCTGCAAAAGTAGCATAGTAGCTAGACAATGTCAATAAAAGAAATTTGGTATGTTGTCTGGTTAGTCTCTTACCTCAAATGCATTTGGCACTACTCCTCTCTTAACAACATCATGGGTAGGCAACGGAAACTTTGGTAGTACCTAAATTGTAAAGGTATACATCCTTATTGAACCATACTATGTAATATAGCAAGTAAAATAGCAAAGAGCTAGAGTGTCCAACCATTGATGGAAGAGCTCCCCAGATAAATACGCGCATTCTAAATTGTGGTAGCCCATAACATCCTGCGACCATCAACCCAAGCCTAGCTTGGTAATTAATGGCTACAAGCCGACTCAATGCATACTTCCCAAGGAATCCATCAGCAAATTTCAATATATTCACAACATTTTCCATGAGAACGTATTTGGGCTTCAAATACTCCACGATATCCATAAAAACAACCAGCTGTTTGTTTTTTTTTTTCCTTCATGGATCCTCACGATCTAAATCGGTTAAATCCACTCGATGCCTTGGCAAGGAGGACCTCCACAGATCACGCCAACAGTGCCCTTTGGAATTGGGAAGAACATTCAAATAACACATCAAAGGTGCCCAAACAAGCCGAGCGTAAATACTTACAGGCAAGGGCAAAATATTTTCCCTGTATCCTCTTTCTACAAAATCTTTGATACAGATTAAGGCAATCCATGAAACATGTATAATGCATAAGACAATGTACACAAAACATAATATAAAAACAAAAATGGTAAAAACAACCTAAGGCCATCAATTGGCTCCCATGTATCATAACTCTGATCATATCGTTTCCATTGCACCTGTAAGTCACAACAACCTTAAGAAATATCTTTATGAAAATGTTTCAAGTAATCAATACAAAATATTAAAAACAAGATAAATACTTCCCCCGTTCCAAATTATAAGACGTTTTGACATTTCTAGATTCATAGTTTTTCTATGTACTTAGATGTACACTATGTCTAAATGCATAGTAAAAGCAATATATCTAGAAAAGCCAAAACATCTTATAATTTGGAACGGAGGGAATACAAAAGAATGAACTATGTAGTTCTGAAAGCAAACACATGGGCATACAATCAAATTTTTAGTACCTTAAACCATAGGCCAACTTTTCTACTGCTATTTGGATCACCATGGCAGATATCAAGAAGCTTCTCTACCTCATATGTGTCTTCCGAAAGAGGTTCATCTTCATCATCAGTTAAGGACCGGGCTACTTCAGATTCCAATATAGTGTCTTTCTGGACAATATATTTCTTACAAAGTGCATCCCACTCCTTAAGAAGGACAAGAAAATCCTCAGCCTTTTCATTTCGCACCTTCAAAAGAGAAGTACAAAAACACTGGTCATGATTTCTGTATAGTGGACTCTAAGCAGGTAAGCCACTTGGTAGCAGTTTGACAGTGGAAAGGACAACCTTTGAACGTGGGTGGTTATACTTAAGACTCTCACAAGCATATGCGTTCATGTCTACTGCCCATCGCTGCACAAGATTGCAAATATTATCGTTCCCGTAGAAAATATCTTCACTGGCACCTAATAAATATCTAAATATCTGACAAATTGTATGATACATACAGTCTCTAATTTAAAGTTGGACAGCTCGGCACCCAAACAAAGCCCAGTCGACATGGCGACACATCCAGAATAAAGATCCATCAATGATGTTGTTTTTGTGTGTACATCAGATGATGCATGAAAGCCAGAAACTAGTGTTTCCTTGGAAGAATCAACAGCATCATCAGAAATGCTTGATGCTTCACTGCTTGAAACACCATCATTATCTACAAGAGAACAACTCCCTCAAAATACACAGAAAGAAAAAATAGGCAGAACAATGCAAGCAGTAAAAATTAATAACATGATACATAGAACATTCATCTCCAAATTAATCATCACATATTCACATGTTCTATCCAAGTCTTTCTGAAACAGAAATTGGTGATCTGTGATGACTGCAATATCGATCAGAAATACTATATAAAAACAGTTACCTGCTGGCAGATTTGCAAATGTTGAATATGCAACTGAATAAGACATGTCATAATAGAAGTCCCAATCTTTAGTGAACTGAGCTTTACCTTGGGGAGCCATCTAGTTCAGGAAAAAAACACATTAAAAAAATTCAGAGCAAACATGAGAAATAATATGGAGCAAGTATGAAAAAATCATGCATGAAAATGAAGGCACTAACATTTGGATTAAGATGAATGATCTTAACCTTTGAGACTATACACTCGATCATGTTATCATTCCTTTCCTCTGAAAGGAAAACTCTCGTTTCATCATGCTTGTGGTCATGAACTTTTAGTAATTTTGGTGAGATAACCTGCAAAGAAATGTCTGTCACACATGGTGCCTTCTTTCTAAGAAATGGGCAAATAGCCTGCCACCTACTGTATCTGTTGTACGGAAAAACCACTGGCATGTGAAATAGGATCCATGATCTAGTCCTTAAAAAAACTCTGTAATCCGTCCAATGTAATTTTCCTCGTTGGGACCAGACTGCAGAAGTAAGAATCATGGGCAAACATTAATAACAAAGACTAAATAGAAATAGAAATTCCACATGAATTGCTAAAACCATATTCTGCATTGAAACACACAAAAAAAATTCCACAACATGTCTATCTACTACCTGAGGTCCTGAATAAGAATTTACTGTGTGAGATAAAAAGGAATGAAGTTGTTTGCTCTATAAGCAGTAACAGCGCACTTCAAATTTCATGCTATCATAAATATTTAGACCACCAGGAGAATACTATAAATACAAGCATGGGGTAAATACAAGGATAACGTGTTATGTTGCATAATAAATTCCTCAGGCCCTCAACAATTGCATGATTGGTTCACTTGATTTGAACACAAAGATATATGAGAGTTATCAAAGAAGAATAATCTGGGATCACACTTTTGCGAACCATGTCCCAAACTCCCAATTACTTAACATAGTACATCCGTTCTTTAATACTATTTGACATTGTTAGTTCAGTTTTGAACTTACCAACGTCAAATATTAAAGAATGGAGGGAGTATTTAGTAGAAATAATAGAGATCAAATCGGGAGCATGACGTTCAGCCATTTTAGCGTTTGAATAGAAAAGAATCTTGCCCTTCTATAATGGCATCTGGCCTTTAGCTCTTCATCCTCAGCACAACTGCATATATACATTCCAGTTTACATTAGCAATGCTTATGACAAAAATCCTCTTTTTAGAGCAGTGCAAAAGGTTCAGCAAGGCATACCGTTTAGCGACTACATCAGGGCCCTGTAATAAAAAAAGGTTGTGCTTATCAGTTGCAGTTTTCCAAGCTACTCCACGAGAAAGATCAGAGTAAAAGGCTGTGCTTATCAGTTGCAGTTTTTCAAACATACCGTCTAATGAGAAGTGATAAAATAGATTAAATGGTAATAATGATGCATTTATTCCACAAGATAGCTCAGAATACACAATAAAGTTAACTTTTGGCGCACTCTAATAGAATCTCACATCATGCCCTGTTCGCTTGGCTGATAAGCCATGGCTGAAAGTACTGTTGGCTGATTTGTTGTGAGAGAAAAATATTATTCGTTGGCTGAAAAAGTACGGCTTATAAGCCAAGCGAACATGGCATATATTTCAACTACACGCAATTTTGATCCAGTGTAAGACGCAAGAACTACACATAAACTACTACGAACTGATCTAACACAACAAGTAAACTCTGTTTCAATTGAAACTGAGTATCCTAAACATAGCACTGAGCAAACAAACGACATTTGGAGATGAATAACAAGCCTGCATGCTGCGAGAAAGGACTTACCTTGGTCCTGATCCAATGTAAGACGCAAGAACTACACATAAACTACGAACCGATCTAACACAACATGTAAACTCAGTTTCAATTGAAACTGAGTATCCTAAACGTCGTACTGAGCAGACAAGCGACATTTGGAGATGAATAACTAGTCTGCATGCTACGAAAAAGGCCTTACCTTGGTCTTGTACCTTTCCGGCCATCTTTGCCTCGCCTCATGGTCTGGCACCAGTTCCCCCACGAAGTGGTCCTCCGAGGCGTCCGCCCTTCTCTCCGTGCTCGGCAGCGCCACCCGCTTCCTCGCCCCGACCTTCTCCGCCGACCATTTTCCTCCGGCCTTGGCCTCCTCCTCCTCCTCCGCTTCCAACGCGACCGCGGCTTCCTCCAACTCCTCCTCCACCATCTCCTCCGAGTCCGGCTCCTCCGCGCACACGTCGTCGTCGGCAGCCTCTGGCTCCTGCGCCTCCGCCCTCTCCTCCGCCTTCTCCTTGGCAGCTCTCTTACGCTTACGTGGCTTCTCCTTCACCGCGGTGCTCTGGAGGCGGCTGCCAGTTGGCACGTCGCGATCGGCCCCGTCGAGCTCCGCCTCCGCATCCTCCATCGCCGCCTCGACTTCTGCACGGGCATCAGGGCCGGGCTTCCCCCTCCACACCCTGCGCTGGCGCGTGCGTGTCGGGGCGCGCGACATCTCGGCCTCCGCCGCGGCGGCGGACTTGAAGCGCCTCCTCGAGGACCACCTCCTCGAGGACCACCTTGGCTCGGTCGGCGGCGGCGGCGGCGGGGCCGGGTCCAGGGACATTGGCGCCGGCTCAACGATCATAGACGGGGGGCGAGGAGGAGGAGAAGCAGAGGGCAAGGGTTTTGCGGCTGCAAAGTGTTCCAACTTTCCGATCGGTGCTTTTGGAGATCGGAGGAAGGGGTGGCCGGTTGGGTAAGCGAGGCGAGGGGATGCAGCCAGGCGCTTTGGAGAGCCAACCGATGAGCCGGTGGCCGGTGGGGTGGCGTTCCCGGACGGGCGGGAAGTCAGAATTGCGTGTGGATGGGTGGGGAAATCAGGGGAGGGTTCTTAGGCCCCGTTTAGATCAAATTTTTTTGGATTTTGGTTCACTGCAGTATTTTATTTGTATTTGGTAATTGGTATATAATTATAGACTAATTAGATTTAAAAGTTTCGTCTTATGATTTCTTACCCAACTGTACAATTAGTTTTTTTTTCGTCTACATTTAGTACTCCATGCATGTGCCGCAAGATTTGATGTGACGAGTACTGCGTAAAATTTTTTGAAATCTAAACAGGCCCTTAACGCGGCGCAGCCACCTCTTTGCCCACTTCAGCACTTCGCACGCCGAGCGGAGCGGCGGATTACAGGGGCTCGATCAAAGCCGATGGCGCACGTCCGGTGCGGCGTCCGCTACCTCTCGCGGCGGCATGGGCCCGCGTGTCATTGGCGTTCGGTGGCTGGAGAGGCTGTGAAGGGAGAGGCGAGAGCGGGATAATTCAAAATTTGGGCTTGAGGCCTTATTTAGATTCTAAGTTTTTTCACTTTCTTTTCATCACATCAAATTTTTGATACATACATGGAGTATTAAATGTAGATAAAAAAATAACTAATTACACAGTTTCATTATAAATTACGAGACAAATCTTTTGAGCCTAATTAGACCATGATTGGACAATAATTATCAAATACAAACGAAAATACTATACTGATTCCTAGCCGGAGATTCGTGATTCTGTTGAACTCGACGAGCCTCTGTGCCCTCTGGGCTCTGGTCGTTCTACGTAGTCATCCGATGGACTGGCGCGTTTCTCGCTGACAACTGCGCTGTTTTGAGGAAAGTGCAGAATTTTCTCGTTTGCCCATTTTGATTGAACTGCGATTCGCTCCTACGATTTGCTGCCATCAGCATATCAGTGATCCGTCGACATAATAAAAAGGAAAAGAAAATTTCTTGCCATCAGTTTCCCGTTACAAACAATTTTGTTGGTCGAGTTTCCCATTGGAACGTTAAGAACTTTCACATAAACTTTTTTGAACAAAAAACATTGCAACTCCAGTGGCTAACATTTTTTTATGATTCCCATATGAACTGGACCCCAGCCTTTACAAGATTGAATCCACATATTTCAAAATTGACCAAGTGATCACGTGGTCTCATCGTCGATAGAAATGTTGCTTGTTACTGAAAGAATCTCTTCGGGCCTGTTCGCTTCGAGAAATTCTAGAGGAATTTGGATGGTTTGGAGAAATGCTGGAGGAATTTGTGAGAGAAAAACACTGTTCCGGATGAAAAAAGAAGTGGATCAAGCCAGGTTTAAGGGCACGCGAACGGGCCTTCATCAGAAAATGCACGCCGGCATAGATATAACAATCTCTTCATCAAATTACGTGTACTCATAACATATTATATTGGGTCTGTCTACCCTGCACTCGGGTGTTGCAACACCTGATTTACTGTTCATCTTCCACCTCGGTTCGTTGCTCCCACCGCCCCGCCGCGGACACGCTAGGGTTCACCGGAGCTCCGGCGTGCTAGGACGACGAAACCTAACGCGCCCACGGCGGCCGCCTTCTTCCCCTCCCCCTCTCGCGCGGAGCTCCACCATGGCCATACTCGGGGGCGATGCCGCGACGCCCCCGCCCCTCCCTGGCCCGGCCGTCTCCGCAGCTGCCAGAGCCCCTAAGTCGTCCGATCCCCGTCCTCACCGCCTGGCCGGCCTACCTCCCTCGGCCGGCCCCTTCTATACCCGCCGGAGAAGATGAACAGGGACCGTTGACAGCACCATCCGATGGCTCAAAAAATCAAGGGCGCTAAGGCGGAGGAACACGATTTAGCATATTATATTACCTTTTGAGGTTACATTGCCTATGTTATGTGCACTAAGGCCACCCCCAACGCGCCAAGCTGGCTTGTATCCCCGTCTTTCACGTCTGCGCGCGAGACCCATATCATGCCTGTTAGTGTCTTCGAAGCAGGTTGTAGTCGCCTGCAGAGGCTGCAAATGAAGGCCTCATCAGACTTAAGTTTCAGGCACCAAGGCAAGCATGCCGTTGTGGGCTAGAGAGCAGAGCTAGTTCGTGCTTTTTCAGAGGCTGAGAGGGAGAACGGGAAAAGAAGCCTATGACAAAAAGCTGAATGTGTGCACTATGTCTACATGTCCTGTACTTTTTGGCCGAGGCATACGCTACTGACCGCCCGCGTTGGGGCTGGTCTTATCATCGAGGCTCTTACTATGCACCTCATATCAAATAGTTGAACTGCCTTCTTTTCTCACTTTTTCCCTATCTGCTTGTAGGTACCTGTCGATGAAATATGGTCGGCACTCCACCGAGGAGGGTGCCCGTGGTGGTAGATTATCGGTAGTATGTGTGTAATCAGGAACCTGATGGTTACAGAGACACAAGACACAAGATTTATACAGGTTCAGGCCGCCAGTGTGGCGTAAAACCCTACGTCTTGTGCTCTGTTATTTGTATTGATCTGGGGTGAGATCTGTTATGATCTGTCCTCTAGGGGACCCTTGCCCCTCCTTATATACTCCGAAAAGACAAGGTTACAAGTAAAGTATCCAATTTGGTACAATTACAATATAGCGTGCTCCACATGCTTCATCTTATGGACTGGCCACCTCCTTGGTGCAGCCCATGTATACCCATGAGGGTATAGGGGTCTATTTCCCACGCCTAGTCCCCGGCGCCTTGTATCCTTCTTGAGTAGCGCCGTCTTGAGCTTGCCATAAGGATGTAAGGGGCTCAAGATAAAATTTGAAAAATATTTCCCCCGAAGTGTGCCCACTTTGACTTTGAGTCGAGAAGAGACACCGTCGTCCTTGTAGAATCGGAGGCGTTTGATCCATCAGATCGAGCACATTCACCGCAAGGTGAAGTGTGTCCACTTAGTCCCCGAGCCTGGTAGTAGGTGACGTAGGCACGTGGTGCCAGGGTCTAAAAAGAATTTCCAGTTAAATTGAGAATCCAATCGTCAATGCAGTAATACGAGAGATGCACTGCGCAGTGCATCGTACCGATGTAGTCCCCGAGTTAGCTGGAAGGCGAGGTATGAGCCTTGTAGCAAGGTCTAAAGGAGAAAAAATATCCCAACTGTATGCAAGTCGCCAATCGCATGTAGTCGAGACGTGAAGTCCCCGAGCTATGGTCGGAGAGTGGTCGAGACAGTTTCCGAGCACAGGTCAAGGAGCGAGCGACGAAGTCCCCGAGCTGTGGTCAGAGAGTGATCGAGGCAGTCCCCGAGCACAAAGACGATCGAGATAGTCCCGAGCACGAGAGTGGTCGGAACAGTCTCCGAGCACAAAAAGTGTGGCAAAAAACCATATGCCTCAAGCGCCTAGAGGCTGAATACCCGAAGGAGGTAGATCCAGACAAGGCCGAGGAGCTACGGATGACCCAGCTGGACTTGTCGGCGAAAATAATTAACGATATTAACTCGTGTGGGAGGTGCGACAAGACCAGTACAAAAACGCCATCAACAAGTCAGCTGGGAGCGCCGTCATCTTCAAGCCAACCAGCGAAGCCTGCGGTCTCGACCAGCCAGGCATCGGCGGGGCCATCTTCTTCAGCTCGATCAATGCCAGAGTCCCCGAGACCCGAGCACGATGGCAGGCCCAGCGAGCAGCAAGCGCCGCGTGCCCCGACCAACCAATAGTGTAGGTTATAGCTATAGAAGAAGATGTAGTTGTGTTATTGTAAACTTGGACCTTTTCAGGCAAGCTTGTAATAACGTAACTGTATATCAACATAAGCTTGTTTGTTTTTGTAGAAAACGTGTTTAAGCTCGGATATCATGTTGGTGTAACTAAGTTAGAACGTGTTGGCGTTACATTTTAGTTGTACCGGTTTAGTCGACACGTCATCCTAAAAGGTTTGTATGGCCCTGGTTTGACTCGCGGTCGGAGTGTGAGGTGTAATAAAGTATGATGCTGAAAGGTTCCCCGAGCTTGCTGGAAGGCGAAGTATGAGCCTTGTAGCAAGGTCAAAGAAAATAAATGCCTCTCAACTGTATGTGAGTTTAGGTCACATGTAGCCGAGGAGAACAGATCTCCGGCCGTGGTGGGAGAGTGGTCGGGCGATCTCAAGCTGCAGCGGGGGGTGAAAACAGCGAGTCCCCGAGCGTGGTCGGGAATGCTTGTTCGTAGTGGTCGGAAGTCATCTAGACCCCTCCCGAGCACGAAATGAGTGTCGATTATATTCCTCCATCACCGGCGGCGCTTGGGCGAAGAAGACGAACTCCGACCAGTCCTCGGCTTAGCTGGTCGAGAGCTCCGAGCAGCCCAAAGCAATAGGTCAGCAATGAAGCGAGCGTCAATCTTGTTCTTAGCTTGTTGCTGGAGACGTGTCGTGGTCGTGGCCGAGTAGATGGACGTGGTTCGGATGGCTTGCTTGTGGCTCGACGTGGCTCGCTTGGCTCGATGTAGCTTGCTCAGCGGCTTGACGCGGCTCGCCGTGGTTGGCTCAGCGGCTCGGCGTGGCTCGCCGATAGCTCGGCATGGCTCGCTTGATGCCTCGACGCGGCTGACCAGACAGCTCGGCGTGGCTCGCCGACAGCTCGGTGTGACTCGCTTGACGGCTCGAACGGCTCGCTGAACGGCTCGCATACCTATCGGAATCCGAGTCGGACGACTTGACTTGACGAGTAGAAGAATTGATCTTGAATTGGTTTGACAGCCGTTGCATCGTCAATGTTGATCGGCATCAAGTAGTAGCTCATGCGCACGATCGTGAAGGCAGTGATGCATGTACATGCAAGTCCATCCCCTTGCATGTCTGAGCTACGTCCTTGTTTTCTCGTGAAGATGCCATGCTCGCGTCTCTGTAACAACGACAGAGCTGTAGATTGATTTATCCACCGGCTTCTATGCGAGGCTTCTTAGATTGGATCTGGTACATGTTGATGCCATCGGAGTTAACAGTCCCTTCTTTGGCCGCATGCTTTGGCGACTTGACGATGGGTTTTGGTTTTCCTGCCAGCTTTGCATGCTAGTAGAACACGATGCCTTTGATGCTTCTGGATGCACGTGACAGCACGACGACGATTTATATTGGACGATGCTTCGATCAGGATCTCCGGTTGTTGGCGCGTTCGACGCCTAGCATCATCCGCCGTGATCAAGATTCACAAGTCACGGTAGATTGGAATCATGGCTGCAGCGCTCGACGCTAAACTTGCTGGTGACGACTTCAGATCATAGCGTGTAGCCATGAGTTGCACCTAGACGGCGAGTCTGTCAGAAGCTGACGAAGGACATCGCCGCCAGATGCCAAATTGCCATGGATGGCGTTGATCTTGAGGTCCATCTGGCTCGCCATGGATCAGCACGCACAGTCCCCAAACCTGGTAGTAGACGACATAGGCACGTGGTGCTAGGGTCTAAAAAAGTCTTGTTAATTAGATACAGCATGCACCATCAGGTGCATCGTACCGATGTAGTCCCCGAGCTTGCTGGAAGGCGAGGTATGAGCCTTGTAGCAAGGTCTAAACAAGAAAGAATATCCCAATTATATGCGAGTCGCCAGTCGCATGTAGTTGAGACGCAAAGTCCCCGAGTTGTGGTCGGAGAGTGGTCGAGGCAGTCCCCGAGCACAGGTCGAGGGGCGAGCGGCGAAGTCCCTGAGCTGTGGTCGAAGAGTTGTCGAGGCAGTCCCCGAGCACAGGTTGAGAGGCAAGCCGCGAAGTCCCCGAGCTGTGGTCCGAGAGTGGTCGAGGCAGTCCCCGATCACAGGTCGAGGGGCGAGCGGCGAAGTTCCCGAGGGTAGCTCGAGATCCCTGTAATATAAATATATAGAACGGTAGTATATGATGTACAAAATAATAATTTAGAGAAAAATCAACAGTGAAGAAATAGCGTATGACGCTTTGTAAAGCAGTTGGTACTTTGTAAACATCAGTGTTAATGTGAAGTTTGTGTTTATACTTAATATAAACCGCCCGACCAGTTAGTATGTAGCTGAGCCTCTAGCCCTAGCTAGCTTCACTGTAGCATGGAGCGCGGAGCCCGTTTGCGTGTAGGAAGGCGTCGCTAAGGAGCCGCTGCCAACGACCCGTAACGCAGAGGGCGGACGCTCATACACGTGTGGAGAGAGCCGGTAGACAGGGCCGTTTTTGGAGACATCGAGCGTCAACATGACCGGTCGAGGATTTGCATTAAGCATGACTGTATGTTATCTTTAAGATGGTATACATAAACAAACGTTATTTAAAGAATAATCGTGACGAGGACGTTGCGGAGAAACGTCATAATGAAAATTGAATTAAATATAAATATTAGAAGTGTACTTATCTTTGGATAGAAATCTGATCGGTGGCGATGAAGTTGTCTGGTCCTCGAGCTTTCCGACCTGTCATCATGACGGTGGTCGCGATTATCGTAGCGCCGTTCTTCGCGGCGATCATCATCGCGACGTGGTTTGGTGATTGATGTGGTCGGAGCTCGGCAAAGCCACTCGAGACGTGGTTGACGTGGTCCGTGGTTGACATGAGCTCGGCGGAGCCGCTCGGGACGTGGTCGACGTGGTCCGTGGTCGGAATAGATGAACGCAGCTCGGACGGACGTGGTCGGAGCAGTCCAAGATCCTCCTTGCACGCTTCAGTTAGCTTGTACGGCATCATGCAACTCGACGGCTGGCCCCTCCGACGGTGAGTGCGTGCATGTGGTTGATCCGTATGTGCATGCATATTTACGCCGATCCAGTCGCCGTGGAAGCTGTGGATGATCATGAAGGCGGATATAGAAACATATAGGCAATAGAATGTTTATAATAATCTAAAAATAGAACGACTTAGCTTCGTTTAAGTGGTGATCTGATCTTGGAAACGTAGCTAATAGGCGAACAACAACAAATCCGTACGTGTGTATGTGGCCCACGCACATACATGTATACACGTACGAATAGTGGATCCATGTAGTCTTGATGCTGGAGTAGGAGTCCCGTGCTTGTCTTTGTGCCTTGCACGCGTCCGAGCTGCTGACGTCTCGAGCCCGCCCTCCTTTTTGTTTCTCGGTGAAATTCCCAACGACGGCTTTCTCGGTTGGTGCTTGCCGATCGAACTTGGATCTGTTGGGCCACATCTTTCCATCGTGCATGAATACATGCAAATCTTCATGGCCTTTACGGTTCTGTAGATCGGATCGTAGAGCCACGGATAGTGTTGGCAAAGCGGGGCTGCGCAGCAAAGGCTGTCGATCTGGCCGACGACAAGGCGTGGGACCACGATGAAGCGATCGACGATGAGGGCTTCACGCGAGCGCCAATGTCGTCCGGAAGCCAGTGTCGCCATGGATGATGTTGATGAAGAAAATCGCCATCTGATTCGTTGGAAGATCAGCACACACAACCCCTAAAAGGGGACCCCTACCTAGCGCGCCACTGTCGACGAAATATGGTCGGCAGTCCACCGAGGGGGGTGCTCGTGGTGGTAGATTATCGGTAGGATGCGTGTAATCAGGAACCATATGGTTAGAGAGACACAAGACACAAGATTTATACAGGTTCAGGCCGTCAATGTGGCGTAAAACCCTACGTCCTGTGCTCTGTTATTTGTATTGATCTGGGGTGAGATCTGTTATGATCTGTATGATCTGTCCTCTAGGGGACCCTTGCCCCTCCTTATATACTTCGAAGAGACAAGGTTACAAGTAAAGTATCAAATTTGGTACAATTACAATATAGCATGCTCCGCACGCTTCATCTTGCGGATCGGGCCACCTCCGGTGGTGCAGCCCATGTATACCCATAAGGGTATAGGGGGTCTATTCCCCCATAGTACCAGACCATGACTTTGTTACTGATGGTGGTCCTTTGCCAAAGACCTGCTCCAGTTAGTTCCAGGGCTTTGCTTCCTAAAAGAAAATGTAGTGCCCACAATAGGGCCCAGTGTATCTATCTAGCATATCCCAATTGTGGTGTATATTCTCTATTTAGCTTCTATGATGCACTGGACTTGTGAAACATGGTCCTGTCCTGTGCAGTTTACTTTTCGTTCCATATGGCCACCTGGAGTTCTGAGTTTGTATAATTTTGTTGTCACATTTTCATTTAACACTCTTGTTAGTTCATTGCAGTCTAGAAAATTATGTCTGTTATCCAAATAAACTCATCGATGCCTATGATGATTTCAATAAGGAAAAAGATACGAAGAGATCTTTTGAAAGGTACAACAATCCATCTTACATTTTGAGATTGGCTGTGTTCGCTGGTCTGGTTTTAACCAGACCAGCCGGCTGCTCCTCCTCACAACAACCAATCAGTTTCAGCTGCTACAGTGTTTCTCTTTCATAACAACCAGCTAGTTTTAGCCAAGTTTCAGACTAGCGAACGAGGCTATTGTCTTATGCTACTTTGTATGCTCTGGTGTTCTCTTGTCCCATGAAGCCAACTATGTACTGTAAGCGTGTGTACCAGTTCGAGGCAAAGAGAGATCCTCTCGCGGCGAAGCGCTAGGGACCATCTGTTAATGGCTCCGTTCGTTTGTCTGAAATTTGGCTGAAACTGATTAAAAAATATTGTTTCGGTTGAATTGTTGCGAGAGAAAAATATTGTTTCAGCTGAAAAAAGAAGCTAAACAAGTTGAATATGGGGTAAGCCGAATATGACCAATAAAAAGAAAAAAAAAAATGGTGAACCAGGAACTTAACATCCGAAAAATCTCTACTTCAGGCCCATAAATTTTCAACCATTTCATTTGATTGATCTTAGATTATTTATTGCTGACTGACCTATAATATTCGAGCAGTCCTCCGCACAGGTGACAGTCCGCAAATCTGCAACGTTGCCTTGTCGGTTGTCACGGACGCCTTCCACCTCTATCCACCGGACGCCACCGCCTAACGCGGCCCCCATGGCCGCCGCCTCCACCTCCCTTTCCCTTGGCTTCTCCTCTCACCACCGCCCAAATCCCAGAACCCGACCCCAACCCCAGCCCCAGAGGCAACCACCGAACGCAAAACCACCTAAACCCCTCCGCCTCAGCCTAACCCTCACCCCGGCGACCGCGAAGCCCCGCCTCGCCGCGGCGCCCGACGACGTCGCCGTCGCCGACGTCGTGGAGAAGGACTGGTCGTTCCTCGAGTCCGTGGGCACAAACCTCCAGCGCTCGCTCGCCGTGGGGGCGCTCTCGCCGGCGTCGCGGGTGTTGGCCTTGACGCCCACGGCGTCCTTCGTGAGCTCGCTCCTCGCGTCCTCGCCCTGCGAGCTACTGGTGGCCGCGCACGAGTCCATGTACGTGCTGGCGGGGGTCAAGGAGGCGCACGACGAGGTGAGGTGCTTCCACCTGGAGGGTGGGGGTGGGGGCAGGGGCGGCGGCGTCGTGGAGGCCGTGCCGGAGAGGTTCCACGACTTCGATGTTGTGTTTGTGTGCTACTTCCCTGGAATGGGAGTCTCCGCCGCGGCGCTCCTCAAATCGCTGGCCAAGAGGTGCTCCAAAGGTGAGACATGTTGGAGTGGCACCTTATCCTTTCTTAGCTTTGTTGTTTCAGACTTCCAGTGGACTGCGCATGAGGTGCTTAGAAGGATCAAGGATGCGGCTTATTAGGCTGTGCATTGCGTTTTTGAAACCATAGCTAAATCATTTGAGATGGCAAATTGGTGGGGTTGAGAGTTGAGACTTTGATTGATCAGATTGGGTTATTATGAGACCGTTGTTGCCAGAGATCATATTGCATCAAACCCTTAACATATACTTGAACTACTTGGATGGCTAATTTGGCTTTGTTATCTTCGTTTAATTGGAGCAGCAGTGATATGCAATTCATGGAACATATTTATGGTTCTGATTATGCATACAAGGGTGTTCTGTTATGTTCCGTTCCTTTGAGTTGTTAGGCTAGTTTTAAAGACTGATAGCAGGCTGCTAGTATAATATTAGCATGGATTACTCTTTATAAGTTCATTCGAGATAGTGCTATGAGTGATCAATACTTTGATATGTGTGATCAGGATTAAAACTATGCCAATACCAGAAGCATATCCATTTCAAGTGAATGGTGGCATGCATTGGTGAACGGGAGATGAAGAGGGAGCTATATTGTCTTCCATCATAACTTGTCAATGCTTTATTTGCTATGAGAAAACAGATGTGTGTTAGGATATTGTAGGGACAAAAAATCTAAATGAGCTGCAAACGAGTCACAAAGTGGTAAAAAGGGCACCCAAAATGGCTGAGGCAGTGTAGAGTTTTGACATCCAAACCCAAACAATCCAACCCACCAGGAATCCAGGTTCCTAAACAGCAACCAGCTTTTGGACCTTTAGCTTTTCACAATCCGACTTTCCACAATCTACAATCCACAAGCTGCTTTCCAAAATTTCTAGCCGAAACAAATTGAGCCTAAGCCTTGCCTAACAGATATCAAGCCTGTCAACTCTCATTAGCCATGCTGCGCCTATAGAGAAAATACAAGGCATGCTTAAGTTTGAAACTTGAGATTTTCCTGTGTGAGTACAACAACAACAACAACAACAACAAAGCCTTTAAGTCCCAAATAAGTTGGGGTAGGCTAGAGTTGAAACCCAGCAGAAACAATCAAGGTTTAGGCACGTGAATTTGGCACCATGCCCAGATCGCGACACGGCGCGTCACCAAGGGGGTGCCGACCCGGCCCTTGCCCATTTAACACCATACCTGGGTTTCGATATGGCGCGTCGCTAAGAGGGTTACGCCCCAACGGTTTTCTTTCGGGTTTCATCTCCATTAGAATTGCTAGATTTAACGTTGGCTCGCCACGCCTATCACAACCCTCCTCCTTTACCAGGGCTTGGGACCTGCTATGTTGAGACAACATAGGTGGAGTGCATTTTTTTTTTTTGCGATTACTTTACTCAGACACTCATCGTGGTTACACATGCAAATTTTTTTGGGTTCAGTTTTAGAAATTGATCTAATAATTTTTTTCCCCAGGTGCAAGAGTTGTCATGTTCTTAGATCAAGGCAGACATAATTTTGAGCAACAACGGAGAGAGCATCCTGATGTTGTAACTTCTGATTTGCCCAGTAAAGCCTTCCTGGAGAAGGCTGCATCTGGGAACAAGTATGAAATAACAGAGTTCGTTGATGAGCCTAGCTTTTACCTTGCTGTTTTGCAATTTGAAGGATGATTTTTTTTTTGTAAGATTTGTAAAGCAAATTGTGACTGCCTGTGATTTGTGACGGGCATAGTTTGTGGGTGGCTTATGTCATACGGTATATCTCTTTGGCGGGCTTGTTTAAACATCTGGCGCGTGTTCAATTTGTTTGATGAATCGCCCAGGCATCTCTTGGTTATATAATAGTTCGATATCTTGAAGTTTGAATATTGATTCTTAGTGTTTTGTATTAGGGAGAAAGTCTATCTTTGGCCATCGAACTATCCTGTAAGTCTGATTTTGGCCATCGAGCTCTAAAATCTTTGGCCATCGAGCTATCAAAACCAGACTTGTTTTTTAAAAGTGGTTTTGTCTTCTAAAATAATAAAACTATGGTTCTATCTTAAAAAATATGAATAATCCATTTTAATAAAAAAATATAATGAAGCTAGCAGCCTAGTACCATTTTTTTTCTTCTAAAAATACAATCTATCTATTTAAGTTAATAATAAAATGGTGACGGTTATTTATTCAAGTTATCATTTTGCGCTATATTAAGACAGCAGCTCAATCCAAAGAACTCTAAACATAACCCTCTTAGATTGTATTTTTAGAAAATTTTGGTAGTGGTTTCCTTTTTTTTTAATGTAAAATGGATTTTTTTGAATTTTTAGATACTTAATTACATCGTATTACAACAACAACAACAACAACAACAAAGCCTTTAAGTCCCAAACAAGTTGGGGCAAAGTTATGGGCAAAGTTAATTACATCGTATTATTTCAAGAAAAACATATATATACACAAAACACCATTGAAACCAGCCTTATGGGCAAAGTTATTTGATTTTGATAGTAGACGGCCAAAGATATGCAATTTTAAATCATGATGGCCAGAATTGAATTATCATCCGATGGACAAAAATAAATTTCTTCCTTGTTTTCTTCGTGTCAAACTACATAGCGTGTCTTTATTTGTTAGTACCATTCAAGTGCTCGGCTGTGCTACTCCCAGCCGCTGCTAGGTTTCTTCTGATAAGAACAGTATGTGCAAGAGTGGTTGTTGCAGCAGCAGCCGTACCGCTGCTATAGCAATCACAGCTGAGCAAAGCCATTGAATATAATATTGTTAGTATGGATTTAAAAAATTAAAATTTCCTTGGGACCTATGATATGGTGCTAAGGGAAAAGCAAAGAATAGCTTTTTGGGAAGTGATGCCAGTAATTGCCCTTATTGTCTAGTTGAAAGGATAACTATATGCTCCCTTTGTTTTAAATTGTATGTTATTTTAGTTCTATTCTAAGTCAAACATCTAATTTTGATCAGATGTACAAAAGAATATGTTAACATCTACAATAATAAATAAAAGCACTATCAAAATATATTTTAAGATATATCTAAAACTAGTTTGATGTTATAAATGCCTATGCATTTTTCTATAAACTTGATGAAAAGCAAAGAAGTTTGACTATAACTGCTAAAACAACTTACAATTTAGAACTTACTAGTATTTCATTTTCGGTTAACATGTTCTCAGCTGTCAGGAGACTTACAATTTAGAACTTAGGGTCTGTTTAGATCCCATGAATTGAAACCAATATCTAAAAAGGCTTCCTATTTTTTTATTAGATTATAATTTCTCTCAATTCCTGTAAACCAAACAGAGCCTTTGTATTTTCATTTCCTGGTTAACATGTTCTCAGTTGTCGGGAGCGAATCATGAACCAATCATTACAGATCTATGTATTCTATTCTATATAAAAAAGTTTCAAGATTCAATAGTATTGCAGATTAGCAAGCTTTTAGCACACACGGTAACAAACATAAATGTAAACGAAGATACAGACAGCAAGAAGAAAATGCCAACATTCTTTATTTTTCTTCGGAGAACACAAATCATTCACGAAGTGCAGCAAGAGCCAGCAGAAACGAAGGGTAGCAGGTTTGTCACAGTTTTTCTTTTATCTACATAAACGAAAATATATCGTTATCTTTAGAGGAGAACAGGTTATACTCTTTCACATCTGCCTGTTCCCTCGAGCAAAGCTGAGCTTGAACCTGAACCAGTGGCGTCCTTGCAGCCAGCTCTCCGCTTTTATCTTTCGATGATGGTGTTACCGGCGAAGCTATTGGCAAGCTGAATTGGAACAGAGAAAAGGATGCATCTGCATCCCATGGTTTGTTCTTGTCTTCTGGGAGATCCTTTAGGCCCGATTTGTTCTTGTCTTCTGGGAGGATCCTTGCCTGTCGGCATAGTCAACTTTGAAGGGTGCCTCTCTATATTCATGTCTCTCTGAGTATGACCAGCAACCTGCCGATGTCCGTTTTGAAAAGGCGGTGACAGAGGCATGGCTCTAAAGCTGGCTGCGGCCTTGTGAATAGGCTCTGAAAGTATATGGCTGAAGGCAGGAGCCATGTAAGGATAATCAATAAAATGATTCCCAGGTATTCCGAATGCGAGCGGACTAGAATATAAGTGGGATGGCTGAGCATACTGGAAGTTTCCATTCGTTGGTGCGGCCCAAGAATGGTCATGAAACCCCATTGTTATTGGCGGATGTTGACGTGCATGCATGCTTTGGTAATGCAGCAGCTGGTCCTGGACAGGGGATACACTGTACCCAAACATGTCATTGTGTGCTGGGCGGGTGGCTTTTGGTTGGTATTCTCTGAAACCATTCCCTGCACATGCTTCAAGCAAAGACCGTGAAGCAGCTCTTGATGACGGTGTACCTGCTTTGCTGTTTATTCTCTCGGGTGATTCCTCAGACTCAGAAGACGATTCCGGATTTTGAGCGCTCGAAGAGGTTGTACTGCTGGAGTTGCTTTCCCTATCTCCCTCGCTCATACATGAAGAGGAGCTATCAGAACCAGCAGAGTTCGTCATCAGCTCTTCATCATGCCTGGAGCCTTCATCATTTTCTGAGTAACAATTTTGTTTATTCACCACAGGAGTACTAGCACAGGAAGTAGTTTGATTTCTCCCACCATTTGCACATTGTTGATCTGAATTACAAACATCCCTGGAACTTTCAGAAGCCTGAGGCTGTAATTCACATCCTACACCGAACTTTTGAGATCCGCTGTTATAAAAAACCACACGTTTCAGTGGATCAACATTGTTAATTGAACCTGAATCATGAACTGTGTTGTGTAAGTTAGTTTTCCTTCGAGCATCCATAGGCTCCCATACTTGCTTTGGGATAACATTTTTCTGTGTACAACCAGCACGGTTTCCTTTTGACACTATAAAGCTATCCAAAGTATAGCATCTGTGGTACTGCACCCTGGGTTTCTCAACTCCTAATTTTCTTGCTATCTTCATCTGTCTGCCAGATCTAGCTGTTGGTAAGAAACAGCTGTCCATAACTCCGTAGTCTTCCGGATGGCCGCAGCTGCAAGAATTGTATGAGTGCCTGTCTCTTGTTCTGTTATTTGAGGTGGATGCTGTGTTGCAACTTCTATCAATACTTCTTGTCCTTTCCCCTTGACTTCCATTGTGATTCACCAATTCTTCCAGATTCATCTTGGCAGTCATCATACCAACAGGACTGATCTCGAGGAAAATCCTCTCTTGACCTTGGACTTCGTCTCAGAGACTTGGATTGATCTGATGTGCAAAGGTCACTGCTGTCCATTGGGGAAAATTCTGTAACTGCATTGCACTGGATACTGTTTTCTCCATTAATTTCTGTACATGAAGATTGATTCACACAGCTGTCAGGAGAGCACAGATTCACAACTTCAGCACTGTCTTCCTCTTCCATAGCTGAATCTCTTGAGTCCAGAGTATTTGTCGAATAATCATTGATAGATGTTGATGAGTTGCTTGGAGCTGAAGATGAAATATCGTCTGGTGACTTCAATTCAACTAGTCTTTTCCTTTATTATTTTCCTTTTCTTTCAGCCTTTCTTTTCTCCTGTTCTTCTTTTCTCTCTCTCTTGTTCTCCTCTTTATCCTGCGCTCTTGTTCTTCACGCTTTTCTTTCTCCTCTTCCTCAAGAAGTTTGTTCTGCAATAAATGCAGCCACAGTTAAAGTTCACAAATATGAGCAAGTCAACCTTATCTGAATTTTATCTAGAGGTATAATAACCACCTGTTTTTCCAACGTAATGATTTCTTTGCATGCTACATGAACTCGCTGTTCCAAAAGTTTTAAAGCAAGGGACACAAAAACACTATGTGCATTTTGCTGTGCTGTACCTTCCCTGAAGGCCTTCTCAACCTGCAAAGATATCCACATTTATACTTAATATTTGGAGTACAAATGCTCGAATTTCTGAGAAATCTAAACAGGTAATGGACAAATGCTGTTAACTACAGTACATACTCAATAAACCACAGGCTAGAAACTATATTAGCCATGAATCCTTTATAGGTACTAAAGTGACAATCAACCTTGCTGTATGATAACAGATGAAGAATACAAAAAGTATTCAAGGTGCCAATCCCAAATAAAATCTTCCATTGGTAAATAAGGAATGGTGCCACAAAAGATATGTTAAGAGAAACAACTAATAATTATTTAAACATTACTAAATCAGGTGGCACACTTATAGAAGTCTTCACACAGGAACCACGGAAACTGATAAGTTGATATACTTTCTTAGTAGTCACATTAGTTGTGAGCTGGTCCAACTAGAGGATGTGAGCTTGAATATACAGCTAGCTAAGCCATCTTAATCAGTTAATTGTGAGCTGAGGTTCACAAATATAGAAAAAAAGTCAAGTCGTTTTCCTTCGTTTGAGTTGAAAGTTGAAACCATTATATCAAGTATTGGTTAGTACCTGTTCTTTGAATATTACAGCAGCAGCATCCAAAAGAAATTCTCTTGCCAGTTCAGGGCTCTTGGCATGCTTCTGTGGATGGGCACCATCACCATCAAAATCATTTCCATCCCTGTCCATACCATCATCTTCCTGCACATATTTTCATCGATCAGAATAATATCTTTTGACACCAACAATGAATACTCTATTTATGTCTATCTCAGTTAAAGATGTTGCCATAAATGGCAAGTGACGTACATCCTCTTCCTCGGCCTCTTCAGCATGCTCAAAGAAATTTCTAATACCTTCGCCCTTTGTCATAGTCACAAAGCCATCACCCACAACTAGCCTGTGGTGGACACATGATTGACCCTTCAATGCATGTGCTTTTACACACAGCTCTGTGCACTGCCCATCAAGCCTCCAAGCTCGCAGTGTTATGAAGTAGTCCTCAAACTGATCAAGATCGATTCCAGTTCTGTGGACTTGTGCCTTCATTCCAACATTTTCAAAGCCAAAAATATCGGATTCTCCTTCATCTGTCCCAATAGCCCATTCAAAGTGATCATAAGATTCATCTGGCTCTGAAAAGCACTGGCGCCAATCAACTACAACGGCATCCTCAAACACCTGAAAATCAGAGCAGCCAGATTTGACTCACATAGGAAGTGTACATAAGGTACCAAGCAATCAAATGAAAATTTTGTTGGTGAGGTGGGTTTTAGGAGGGCATCCTCACCTCACACTGAAAAGCAGTATCTGCAACACAAAACCAACTGGTGCAGCGAGGCTCCCTTCGCATGCGCTTCAGTTCCTTGAGCTCCTTGAATTCATGGATAACATTCCTTCGACACTCTCGGCAAAATCTCTTGCTGTCAAACCTGTTCACAAATTTCCACCAAACTGTTTGAATTTTAACCTGATCTATAGGCTGTTGCTAGAGAAATCCCAGCAGATAGCTGAGTAGGACTACCAGGAAAAAAGTTACTTGAACGCCCAACACAAGAAGACAGAACCAATCAGTAATATCGTAAAAATGACATACTACTACTCAAGCATTCATCACTCTGATCATTTGAGATTGCTGCTGCAGCTGCAAAAACACCAGCCAGCCAGCACCAATACCAAGAAAATCTGGAAGCGGCAAAGCAGCAGCAAGAAGTAGCACTTCCGATCACAGTGCATATATAAAATTCCAATCAATCTTCAGTGAGGCTCAGAGCAGCTTACGGGTACTTTCAAGGTTCCTTCTATAGAAGGATTGCATTTTGTTGGACACAAACCTTCAGGTTGTTATTAACTCACTAGTTAACTTGGTTACTTTGTTGGTAATCCGAATGCCTATGCTCACCTGTACATAAGTTTTTCAATGAAATCTTCCTCCTTCATCCGCAGAAGAGATGATCTAGTTTCTTCACCAAGCGCTGACCAGAAATCCACCAGCGTATCACATGAGAGGTGGGCAGTGTGTAGAGCACACATTTCTCTTATTCCATGACCCCTATAATTAGCCATCCCTTGGCTAATCCATCCTCTGCCACCTACACCACAGGCATCAGGATAAAGCATTTCCCGTTCCCTTTCTCTTGCCTGTGCATTGTCAAATACCTGATTAAATTCCAAGGCCAAAATGCATTAGGCCCGGTTAAATGACCGACCTAGAACTAAAACTTCAGAGTAAACACCATGATCATATTTACTGATTACTCCACATAAAGTAACACAAAGGACCAATATACAAAATAGAAAAATATTTCTCAATCATATAGTCACCAATAGAGCAGACAGAAAATAAGAAGCCCAAAAGTTACCGCACACTTACATTCTGAAGCACCCGTAATGATTTCGCTTTTATAAAGCAGTCAAGAAGTGTAAGGACACCATCTTTTGTGGTTGAAAGGCCTCCCCAGGGGTGAACTGATAGGTCCTGAGCCCCTTCTTGCTCTCCTTGTGTAATTCTTGACTCAGTAGCTGTCCTCAGACAACCAATATCTGAAGCTTCTTGCTGCAGTGACTTCCCATAGATAACAATTTGTGCAAAACTATCCAGAAGCAACCCATTGCACCTTGAGCAGTAGAAATTCTTGCGTGCTTGTTCAATGAGAGTTTGCTTATCCAATTTGAGGAGTTCCTGCCGTGCTTGAGGAGGCAAGTCATTCCAGAACTGAAAAAAAAAATCAATTCACAGCCATAAAGTAGTCAGATCCTCAATTGAGAACTTAGTTGCTGAAAAAGAACATCCAGTAGAATGAACTCGATGACAGAAACAGCTTGACAAGAACCTTACTTACAGAATAACGATCAATCACAATCCTATTCAAGAGTGATGCAATGTTACATTTACAAACTCAAATAAAGGTGATGGTGAAGCAAGGCTGTTGTAATTCAAACGCAAGGTCATCATAGAAGACATGGCACAAACCTTGAAGAAGATTACAGAACATGTGACAATACCAAAATGGAATAGACGAAAGCATGTTTTAATTATTTGAGTGCAATCACCAGTTTTATCCAGTATGATTCTAGTTGCAACTAGACATGCTACAACGAAAGAAATAATAGGAAGTGCTAAGATTTAAGAGTGAAGATTTCACGGTTTCGTTGAAATTAACAAAGACCCATCACAACCTGATGATTTCATTTGATAGCAACTTGATAAAAGTTTTTGAATTATGCATTCCTCTTTAGGGCTACAGTTTACATTCCTAACTTCCCATGGCAATTTGTTTTCTTAAGCAGTGTTCCTACCAAGCATCATTGACATTTGGCAGACATTATTGCCAGATGCCAGAGCAGAACTTTTACAGGCCACTAAAATTAAACATCAGGACAGACTTTAAACCCTCACTTCTCAAATCAAATACCTGAATTGTTTGACACGAACACTACCATGTAACCAAAACAGCATAAGCCAGTCAAATTTCATACAGAGCAGAATAGGAACTCCAACCTAGCAGGCTAGCACTCGCCCCCGCCCCCACCTGAGGTACTAACCAAAAGTGCAGCCATACCGTCACGGGCTCACCATATCTCAAGGGCAATGCACTAGAATTAACGCAAAGACAGTACAAATGAGCTGCTACAAAAGGTCAAAGTTAGCCCGTATGCTTATCAGAAGCAGCAACAAGCGTAACCCGATTGAACTCCACTAACAGAATTTGCCGCACAAATGAATCCTCGACTCATCAAAAAATAAATAAATCCCGAACCCAGCAAATAATTCCCTTAAATCCAGTCCCCAAACCAACATGTCCATGGAGCTTTTCGCGACTCAGGAGCTGAGAGCAATCAATCAAGCCAGGCGGAGGGGCAGGGGACCAGCTTCGTCCCAGAAATTACGACAGGGCAGCAGGACCGACCTGCCCCCAATTCCCATCACCCAGATCGAGCTCAGGCTACGAACGAAGCAGAGGGCACGCGATGGTACCTTCTGGAGGCGATCGAACGTGATCTCGTCCCGCCGGCGCGACCAGATCCCCGATCCCGCTGCGGACGCCACCCCCGGCATCACGTCCTCCCGTCGCCGCCGTATTCAACTCAGCTAGGTCCTCTCGCCCGCTCCGTGGCGCATCCAATTCCCGCCGCCGAATACGACGACGACTGCCCCCCGCCAACGGCCCTCGGAGGATGCTGCGGCGACGGGGTCCCCTGAGCTGCTGCCGAGTCGGATCGACCGCGTCGGTGACCGAGAGGGTTTCAGCGCGACGGGAAGGAGGGAGGCGGCGAGGCGACACGATGTGCGGGGTAAAAGGCGAGGCGGGGACAGGGACGAGATGGGGGGACTCCGGGACTGGGGGAGGGAACGCGACGACGCCGTACGCATTTTTAACCGTCGCGGTTAGCGGGCTCGGAACAGCGCGTTTTCAAGTTCGCGGTGGCGGTCTCTGGCGTGGCGACGGGTGGGTTTTGACAGGGGTCCCGAGGTAAATTTCGAGCTGCGGCGCACGGCCGGTCACTGCCGTGGCGTGGCGTCAAAAAAATTACTACGCGGGGGATGTTTTATGTTTAGGACCTTGTACAAGGATGAAATTGCTACAATCCTACACGGGGGGTGTTTTAGTTTTAGGACCTTGGCCTTGTTTAATTAGATGATTTTTTTTGAGAAATGGTACCGTAGCACTTTCGTTGTTATTTGACAATTAGTGTCTAATCATAGTCTAATTAGACTTAAAAGATTCGTCTCGTGAATTTCGTCTAAACTGTATAATTAGTTTTATTTTTTATTTATATTTAATGCTTAATACATGCGTCAAAGATTCGATGTGACGGAAAATCTTAAAAAATTTTACAAAACTTTGGCAACTAAGGCACCTTGTCGCTCACTGCTCACTAGCAGAGTCTGACAGCCGAACTTTAGCGGGAAAGATTTTACACGCATGGTCGCTTTTGTACCGGAATAAAGCGCGACCTGCAGCTTTACTAACTGTAGCCTTTTTCCCATGTTGTCGCCTTCGATGAAGAAATGGTGTGGCATTGGCATGGCACGTGAGCTATATAGCAATATAGCATAATGATTTTTCCTGAAAAATTACAGTATGATAATGAAATTTCTGGTCACTGCTGTCACAAGCATGTTGGCGTTCCAAATGGGTTTTAATGCTTTACCGTTGGGAAAACCTGTTTTGCGACAAAAAGAAGGAAAGGGGAAACGTTAGCTCGACTGATGAGCGAAAAATATCTTAAGGAATAAAATCCCCACCCAGAATACATGTGAAAATGATGCACATTGGCATAATACAGTGGCAGGCTTCACAGCACTAATAGTGGAGGACCAATAAAAAGGATTTAGATGCAAAGCTGTGATGGCGCCTCTAGAGCAACTTGTGTGGCACACTTAACAGCGCGGGGCCAATCTTGTCAAATATGAAGCGATCACATCTCCGGGCAGTTGTAGTCTGCTTTTAATAAAATTGGTTGAGCTCTAAGCAATTTACAATAATAACAACCAGGTGGGTCTTATAATCATAGAAGCAATAAGAGTGCTGACCTAGCGCAATCTCTTGAGTCGGCGTGATCTTGAATGTTGACAACATATACATGTGTCAAATTTAATTAATGGTACCACGAGTTTTGTTGCCTGATTATTTGAGTTTAGGGAAAATGCGCAAATACACGTTTCTCGTTTCATTAGCTTGCGAGATTTGCTTTTCGCACTTGAAGTCCGCTTTTTCCTGTTTTGGAGGCACTTATGGAAAAAGAACAGAAAAGGTTAACAAGGACTACTACTAGCTGCAAGCGAAAAAGAAGGGAGGGAGGGAACCTGGCCTGACAACCGCGGCAGTAGCAAAGCGTTGAGGAGCGGGGGCGGCGGGAAGGGAGGTCAACCTTTCTGGAACGGTAGGTACGTGCTGCGCGGACGGACCATGCTGCCATCTGGGTCCCACCTGCAGTGTTTGCGTGACCGTGGCAACTGGCGAGTAGGACCAGATGCCCCCCGGCCCGTTCCGTCACGTTGAGTCCGCTCGATCAGGAAGCTTCAGGAACGAGCTTCTTGGCTTATCCGTCCGCGCACGCATCGTTCTCTCGTTGTGCTCAGTCAGTTCGAAACCAGGGGGTGAATCGCGTGATTTGCTGCGGGTGACCCACCTGACGGCGAAAACCGCTGGACGGCTGGAGTATGGAAAACTTTAGAGTCTTTTACATGTGTGTCGAAAGACGGTCCTGACCTAGATGGCACTAAAAAGTTTGAACGTCATTTGGTGTCCCGACGCTAAACTTTTTTACCTTACACGTCATTTCGTCCATATTTGCCAACCACAGCAAAAAAAAAAGTCTAAAATGCCCTTAGAAATTTATTTTCTCATTTTCTTTTCTTCCTCACTTATTTTATTTTCTCCCTCTTCTCTATCCGATCGGCCGGGCAGCTTCTGCACAGATCCGCGTGCCTCCGTGCGTCCGTGAACTGGTCGGCGTCCATGGGCCACGCCAGCATGGCCACCCCGGCGGTGGCCACCACCAAAGACCGAAGTTCCAGCCCGGCGTGGTGTGGCGCCTTACCTCCACCATGGCGCCCACCATGGATCACCAAAGACGCGCGTGACGCCAGGTTCGCCTCGAACTCGTCTCGGCATCTTTGTAGTGCCGTCCTCGCCGCCCACACGAACATCTGCCGAAGCTCACGCGCCCGGCGGTTCCGGCGACAGCCCAGAGAACCCCACGAACGCAGCAGCTCCGTCGAGCCCACACGAACGCAGACGAGCCCACACGAACGCGGCAGCTCCGCCACGGACGCCGCCTGCACCGATGACAACGCCTGCTGCGTCCCGAAGCTGACGGACAACACGGAGCCATCCGGGAACGCGTCCAGCCACGCGGCCACCCGCGCCGCCCCCACCGCAGGCTTCCCACCACGGTCGCCCCCCGACGACGTGGCCACACCGCCGGCGTCCGACAGGGGCCCCACCATGAACACTTCGTCGCCGGGCTGCGCAGAGGGCGTGCGACATGGCGAGGTGGAGCACACAGGAGGAGGAGAAGGTGACGTGTGGCACGCGCGGACCAGCGGCACGAGCAAATAGCGGCATTGCTTGACGGGACGGAGACGACGGCGGTGGTGTCATGAGGCAGCAAGCGCAAACAACTCTGGCGACGCTGACGTAGCCAAAGAGCTGACCGGTGGGGGCATTGTGTAACACCCTTAGTGTTACGAACTTGTTTAGCACCATGATTTAGGCCTAAGAAAAATTTCCGAATCGAGTTTTATTGGGTTTTTAATTTAAACGTACTTGAGGCGATAAGTGAATCCCATGTGACTTAGTTTCGTGGACTCAAATAAACGCTCAAGATAAATTACGCAGTGCGTAGAAATATTCAGGAATGTCCGACGACGATTCTAGAGAACGGTTTGTCCTGTTAGATTAAGCATGAAAATCAACTTTTATAAATAAAATAAAATCCATTAATAAATAGAACGATACATATATATATATAAACTCATGGGTTTATTTTGTTAAGCATGAATTGACGAGAAAGAGAGCGCATCAGCTTCGTTTATTTTTTCGACATGCAACGTACTTGCCTAGCATTACTTTTTTTATCACTGTCTCGTTCTCATCGTGGCCCTGCAATTCGCTGCATTGCAAAGTCTCCTCATCCATCTGCATCCATGCTCTCTGGCTTTTGCTTTGTTTCTCTTTGACTTGATTACTTTTGTCTACATTTGCCGAGCTGCTCCTTGTTTTTCCTCCCTCACCGTTTGTCTCTGCTTTCTCTGATTGCCTCGCCTTGCTTGTCTCTGCGTCATGGTCTTGTCCATGCCAACCGGCAAGACGCATCTGTCGGGCCACGTTGGGCTGGGCCGTCCCGCCATTGTGTTTAAAAAGTAACCGAGCCCGCTTACGTCTCCTTGCTTGTTCGTCTTGAGCTAGTCTGCGAATGATCTTCTCCTTCTCCTTCTTAATTTAATTAGCACGCATACACTCTTTATTGTTGATCGGACCGCTTAGCACGACAAGAACGCACTCGAGTCCAAGTCTATCATGAATCAACTAGCCCAGTTGACACGTCCGAAATACCACTCAAGTCCATCACCTGAAATCAAACACGCTTCATCAGTAGCCGGCACGGCTTGCACGTCGGGTACACCAAAGACCATGCAGAAAATCAGAAGCGCCATGAAAATCACTGTAGCGCGGTGGAAAGCACGGTAGCACGAAGAAAAAAACACTCACGTCCTGCAGAGAACCATGACTTCTAGCAGCTCTTGACTATCCTTGGTATGCGCCTACAAACTAAGTTATGCCTCCCTGCTATAGTGTACTAGCTCAAGCACCAAAGTCTCCCATGGATTAATTAGCTGTCCCCAAAGTCAAGTCTATGACGTGTTATTAGGAAAAGAATATGATGCATGAGCAGACCGCGCCACACACATAAGCAAGTGGTGTGGGAGCTGGGGACTATCAATGCAAGCAAGTTAGTTGTTCACCCTAGCCAGCTTCTCTTCGCGGCCTATATAATGAGAGCCGCATAGTCCAGCCAAATGAGCCTCCGCTCTCCATAGCTCCAGCTCTTCTCACTCTCTCAACTTCCTTGCTCTGTCTGCAAGCTGCATGCAGTCGAGTTGACCTTTACTCACGGGCGAGGTGTGCGACTCATGAGCATCCCCTCGCTCTCCTCTCTTTCCCGTGACCTTCTCCTTGCACCTATCCTTCCAACCCGAGTTGCCCACAAGCCCCACGAGCTCGGCCATGGCGTTCACGCATGAGGCAAGAAGAACGCTCTTAGCTTTCTCTCTCCCATCCCATGCATGTGTATATGACGCGCGTGGGCCTGAGCAACAAAGACATGCAAAAGAACCATGCCAAACAACCACGTGAAGAGCAATGAATATTCCCTAATCACGCATTAGTCTTTTTCCGCGTGATTAAAATTATGGTCACCTTGCACAATTAATATCTCTACTATGCTAACTCCGATTCCATCACTTCTTCTTCCTAAATTCATCTAAAATCGAACCCTACCTATCCATAAAGTTTCATAATTTTTGGAACGTAGTTGAATTTATGTGAATATTTATTTGTGTCTGTTTGCCGAGTACCGCGAGTTCGACTCCGACGGAGGGACGTCGATGGATCGCGGAGTCATCGGGAGTTGCTGGAGAAATGGTACTTTTGGAAGCGTGATTAGATTTCTAAGAAATTCGGCTATCGTTGACTATTTACATCTATGCATTTGCATCAATACATATCATAATAGGAACGATGGTGGATCGATGGTATCAACTGGAGTAGCTGAAAAGATGGTGCCAGGAATCATATCATGAAGATGGAATGCTAACTTTTGGTTATATTTTATCCAGGCAAGCCCCGGTGCATAACCTCTATTTTTCTGCAGTTTAAATTATATTTGTGCATTAAGTTTCAAGGAGTTAAATGAAGCCCACTTGCATATATATCTTTATCCTATAAGTCTTACTAGTATGACAGGATCGTAGATTGCTATGCTCTGGGACTCCGTGAGAAGTCGAGTGATTATCCATCACTCGCGAGATCTGAAAATATGTTACTATATGTTTATCACTTAGAAAATATCAAAATGGTGGAAAGAAAAATAGTGACCGGGCAGGGATATGGTTTGGGTATTGGTGAGCGTAAGGAGTTGTGTCGCCGTGGACACGGGGCATAGCTTGGTTACACTATTTTCCCTGTCTGGTCGGTTAAGGACCGATCGTTGCATATGACTCTAGGCAGGTCACAGACTTATTATCTCGAGCACATACTTGTGTATGGGCGCTTGGAAGACTTGTTGCTCTCTTGTCGTGGATCCGGCTCTTTCCGGACCGACTGTTAGGGTTTGTTTTGGTGGAGGAGGTCCTTGCACCGCACTGAGTCTGGGACTCGGTAGGGGGCCTTGGAGTCCTGGGCTGACGGGGACACGGACACCCGGACAGAGAGTGATGGGTTGGTCCTGCTTGTGCCTGGGGTACAAACGGGGCGTGTGTTTTCGGGGTACCCAGCTGGGGGCATTGATTCACGAATCACCGGGCTATCCGGTACGGCTTGTCTACGGTTTAGCATCGTAGTAAGAACTGAAGATGAAAGATGAAAGATGGAAAAGGAAATCTGATTGCTTACCACCTGCTTGAAAATAGCACAGGTGCTTATATAGAATGGTTAGTTAATGAACCAATGCGGCTATTAATAAAAATCAAATATAAGGACGCACGCTTAGTAATGTTTCCTGTAAATGCAACCCACAAGCCAGATAGCCCTGCATATCCTTGGAGTCTTTTCTTTCCTCCTGTCGGGTAAGTCTTGCTGAGTACAATTGAGTACTCAGGGTTTTATTCCCCCTGTTGCAGGTGACAGGTTGATGCTAGAGCTGACCCTTGTGTGTGGATTCCTCCTGGTGGGCTTAGCGAGGATTCCTTTACGTTGCGATCGTAGTTTTTATTTATAACTCTCACCAAATGTTTTTATAAATGAAAGTTTCATAATCTGTTATAGTAGTTTATATATCAATACTTCATCATATCATTAATAGATGTTTATTTCCGCTATAATTCTGATCACATGTTTAAATTCCGATGTACATTAAATTATTTATAACTCTGATAATATGATTACATTTCGTTGTTATACAATAACTATTATACTCTGATGTTGTACTAAAAGGGATGTATGAAATGGTTAAGAATGATGTAAGCTTTGTTCTCTCATTTGTAATCCTGATGGCAAAAATGTGGATTTTCGGGTTCTCCCCTGGGGTGTGCCCGACGGAACCGAGTAATTTAGTGTTCTCCCTTGAGTGCTTAGTGTCTAATGGAAGACAAGCACTCCTGTGAGGCATTAGATTAGGCGGTTCTGCTACAGGTGGTATCAGAGCATAAATGAGGAAATAAAGCTTTCAAATCCTTTTCTAAGCTAAAATTTGACAACCTGTTTTTGCAAAAAGTTAGGACGTTTACATGCGAAGTTATATAAGTAGCCCTATTACTATGGTTATGTATCCAGGATAGATGGCACTCTGCTGACTTAGATAGGGTTAATCAAGTTTGTGCAGGTACACTGACTCGAGCATAGTCTAATAGTATCGACTAGCTACAAGGAGAGAACGATGTGCCAAAAATTTGAGAACGGTTGCCCTATATGCTGGCAACAGTGAAAGGACGTATAGGACGTGCATTCATGCATATTTTGTTTGTGCATTGTAGCGCTCGTATTGCTTGTAGATACACCGCTCGTATTGCTTGTAGATACACCCTCCATAGGTGTCACGACTGACTCGTTCCTGTTCCATAGTTAGGTCTGCACTGTGGTTTTGTGTTCTGTGTTCGCCTGTGGTTTCACGCCTGTCATGACCCACGTCTCCCCGTACCCCTTTTATGTGCTCTTGTCGGACCCTTGCCCTACAGTCGTACTAGTCAGTAATGGCCTCGGACGTCGCTCGTCTCGAACGCGCGGAATTTGGTCGATTCGTCATAGTGATCTCGCGCGGGAACCCTGGTGAACCGCGCCAGGACCACTGAGCGCTCTGCCTTTATAAGCAGAGCCTGTGTTAGCCTTGGTATCACCACTCTATGCACTTTAGCTCGCTTAGGTTTTCCTTTGAGCAAGCTTTCGCTCAGCCTTCCTCACGACCACCGCTAGAAATGGCAGGAGCCTGGGTTAGTAGTTACTGCTTGAACAGTTGAGGGTTTTCCCAAAATCCTGCATACCACCCTGCAAAAGCTCGGAGTCAAAGCTCATCCTGAGTATGAGGGCCGTGAGTATGAGGAGCATGGCACCGAGCGGTGTGAGGTTACCGTCTATATCGGGAAGAGTGAGGAGTTCCCCGACCTCACTGAAACCTGGAGTGTGACCGCAACCGGGTTTTGCTTCGTCAACACCTACCAGGTTGTGGCCCGCAAAGCCTTGCGGTACCTCTGCCAGATCTATGAGGAGCCCATTGCTCGTACTCCCATGCGGT